TCATCATCATCATCATCATCATCATCATCATCATCATCATCATCATCGTCCTCATCATCGTCATCATCGTCATCATCATCGTCATCATCATCGTGAGCATCGTCATCATCCTCATCATTGTCATCATCATCATCGTCATCATCATCATCATCATCGTCGTCATCATCATCATCGTCATCATCATCATCGTCGTCGTCATAATCATCGTCGTCATCATCATCAGCAGCAATCATCATCATCATCATCATCATCATCATCATCATCATCAACTACCAACATCTACTACCAACCATCTTGTCAATCGCTGCACTTCCGTGCCCCTTGCAACTGCCAAGCGCAACAATCCTGAACAAAAACCACTCACCGTTTTGATACTCTTCGATTAGAAACCACCATGACACCCCGCTGTACAGGCCTCACAAACACGCTCCTCGCCCGGAGTGCCAGCCGCAGCAGGGGAGCGGTTCAACCAATGCTTGCCGATGACCATCAGGGCGTCTGCCAACAAGTCACGCCTGCATCGGCAGGAGGAAACTCCTTGAAGCTTCCTTCGCCACAAAAAAGGCGGCGCTCATTGCAACAAAACAACTACAATGTGTTTGTTGTGTACATATTATATGTAGAATATCAATGCGACATGTGTGACAGGTGTATGCTAATTCTTTGCGCGCGCATACACACACATATGCCGCCACATGCAACTTGGCATGTCACATGCTTGCGATGTGATGGTCAGTCTCACAAAGGCCTCCGCCGAAACTCTTAGCCGTTTTCATAACCATGCCGCCACGCCTACCGATGGCGGTCGCTGGAACAACGACCTCGATCAAGCTGCGAAGGCATTGCCGCGCTTTCCTTAAGGAGCGACTCAAGAGCGACGCTGGGGGAAGGGGCTGGCAGTTTTTGTCCGCCTTCCTCGCAGGCATGCAAACTCTATGACGAAACGATAATGTAACCGTCACCGCCACCCTCCTTGGAGGAAAACAACAGGATTACCATGGGTATATATCTTGGGCAACCTAATCCCTGTAACAGCGGATGATGGAGCCTGGTTCCAGGCCTTTCTCAGAAACAGTGATGTTCTTGTTAACCGACTCTGACGAGTTTACTGGGACATTCATCATATTTTATCATAGAAATATCCATCATAGATCCCCTAATCAATCCTAATCACCTTCATACCAGTCTTACTCGCTGCGGAAAACTGACGGCCACTCGTCGAAAATAGACGGAGATGTCGCAAACCCAGCGAGAACTTCTCATCCCTGAAGCGCCCATCATCCAACAGGTCAATCCTGGTGTCTATACATACGTATACAGCTCACCTATGCTGCAATCCCCATGACTGAATATGATGATGAAAGTCTCAGTACAAATTGGAGATGAAAGCTGATCAATCACAGAGTGATCCTCAATCAAATGGGGATTTGCCCAAACCTGGAGCCCCCACCATGTAGCTCATGTAGCTTGAATTTCCAAGTAGGGTCTCCTGCTGCCACAGCCTTAGCCTTGCAAGTCATCAATCTATCTAAGGGTATATTGGTATAAATATCCCCTTCCCTATCAAATGCCTTGTTCAAAAAGAGTGATTGTTGTTTACCGACTGCTACAGATTTGCAGGCTTACTGGGACATCCCCCAAATCTATCTCCCATCCACTCAGCCAATGCTCACCTATATAGTTCTCCATCAGCCGCCTCTCTCTACGTGGGTTCCCACCGCGTCACTTGGGCTTTTTGGGCTTTCTCAGCCTGCGCCGAGGTTCTGCACCGTGAGGGGCGACTGAAGGAGTTTCAGGAAGCGCGGCACCAGCTCCCCGGTGCTCTCATCCATCACCTCGCCGCAGGTCCGGGGCGTTTCGGTGCCGCCACGAACTCGGTCGGTCCCGGAGTTGCGATGGTTGGCGGTTGAGTGGGGGAAGCGAGAAGGCTTGTGGAATACCCAGGGTGGAAAAGCATCACTTAGCTTCGCATTGGGTAGAGATGGGTAGAGCATCCAGTAGAGCTTCTAAGATGTCCAACACATCGAGGAGTGGATCATGATGATCATCAACAGTTGCCGCGGCACGAGTTCTTCTCTCTTCCTTCCTACCGCGACGCGCAGGAGCTCAGTGCGGCGCGTGAGACGGATTCCGCGGCGGTGGGCGCCTGGTGATTCAACGGATTCCTCGCCAAGGCCGCGATCCTCGGCGCATGGCGACGGCCGGCCGGAAGAACCGGTCGCGGTGGAACACGGGAAGCCCCGGTTGGGCAAGGCAAGTGATTTCGGACACTTGCATGGCATTATATCCATCCAAGGTTGGAGCCTCACAGTGAGCAGCAAATGAGTCAAGTCAGTATAACACCCTATGAGAGATCACCTTCCGTTCAGGGTCACCCATGGAAGCCCCATGAAACATCCAGATTCCGCCTTTGATTGCCGCCTTCATTTCGCCTGGCCAGTCCGTCCACCGAGGCTCACGTCCATCACAAAGTCCGCCTCATCGACATAACCTCCGGCCCACGCGACGGCACGTCGCGTACGTCGTGTGCAAGGGAAAGCCGCAAGCGCACGCAAGACCGGGCAAGAGAAGGTGTCAGTGCGTTTCAGCACTTGAACTTTCTAAGACCTCTCGAACGCCCCCACCTTTCACGAACTTTTGGCACATACATCCCAAAATCTTGGTCGAAACTGCAAAAGCCCTTCCGTGATTTTGATGATGGTTGGACGCATTGGGTCAAGAATGAGGGGGTCAGGATTGCCTCCAAGTTAATCCAAGAACTCGACCCCAATCGACTTGAAGCGTGCAACAAAGACAGCTTCACATCATGTATCCAGCCGTCTCAGCCAAGCCGCTGCGAATCCGCGCTCTGGTGTCAGACTGCTCCTGAATCTTGGCTTCTTCAATCTGACTCTGTGTCATTGCCTCAACCCAAGAAATCTCAAACATCGCCGGAGGAGCTACCATGAGCTACCCAGCTACCGGAAGCATGGAGGGGTTGGCCACGGCCGCTCTGGCAATCAGCAATCATCCGGGGAGATCTTGGGATAGATGTGGTGGGCACAGTTCAAGGTCCAATCAAGGCTGGTACTGGGTGCACCTATGTGCACCTACCACTGTGTTGAAGCACAACCTATCAAAAAATCATTCACCACCAACGATGTACAGTGATCTACACGGAGTTTGTCTTCTTGTCCGTTCACACCAGGGCTTTGGCCGTAGTACGTCTGACAACTACTTCCAGAAGCCGCTAACTGGCCTCGGTGCTCGTCGATCCGTCAAAGCAAGCAGTGCTCTGACTAGGGGCACTTCCCATCTTTGATCCTTCCATGTGCTTCCCCTAACTTCCACCCAACAGAAATGAGGAGTATTCTAGTGTTTCCCACCACCGTCACGAGTCTGGGCACGCGTCGGGGGGGAGCACCGGCACCGACGAGCTCACCACCCGGCACACCGGCCGTCACCAGGCACCGGCCGTCAGTCAAGGAGCTCCCTTCTCTCCGGGTGCACTCTTGGCTTTGCTTTTGGCCTTTGGATCCTCGCGACATGGGTAGGGGTCATGGGCACGACTATGGGTATGACATGGGCCATGACATGGACCATGCCGCATGCCTTAGGATCCATGATGCTGCCGCAACCAGGAGTCGTTTGTGGTCATGGACCAAGCTGGCCACCATTGACCATGGGTCGGTCCTTTCTCAAAAAAGAAAGGCCAGCAGATAGGGGCGCGAAACATTGGAGGACCAAAGCTGAACACATGTATTTTCAGGCGATCCCGTCAATTTTGTCCACGTGAGGGACTCTTTCGAAAGCTTTAGTGGCACCAATGTGCGGCCCTGCCTTGGCTGCCTTGCTCTCCTTGGGCTTCTCCTGCCAGTCAACCAAGGCTGCGGTGTTCAAGCAGGGAGTTTCCGAAAAATTGGACGAGGAAGGAGTTTATATTATACCCAGACACTCCAAACAGCCCTTGGTCTCTCATGGTCCCTCAAAACCTAGGGATTTGAGACCCCAAACCCCTCCATATGAGGGTCCAGGAGCGTCTGGATAATTTTCAAATCTCTGGTATCTTGTTCCAAATGATGGTGAACCAAGGGGGGCTTGGTGCTCTGGACCACCCTTTTGACCCTGGTGCCTTGGCTTGCGGAAACGCGCCTTGTCGCGGGCCAAAGGCGCAAACTTCATCCGGGAGGCTGGGGCTTTGACCTCCTCCTCCTCGTCCATGTCCTTGCCGCAAGCGCGGCGGTTTTGCGCGGGGAAGTATGGCAGTTCGAGGAACGATAGGAAAATCTCGGGTAGATCCCGAAACTTTGTACTGTAAACCTACAGGCAATAGCAACGTCCAGGTGGACTGGTTCATGCAGGAACGTGCAAATAGAGGCATCACGAGCCATCGTGGCTTCCTAATAAGTACAGAACCTATCACGATCTTCAACATATGTTCCATCCCAAACACTCCATGTAATATGGTATATATGCCTACATTGACCCCCCAGGCACCACCCCAATGTAGGGATATGTAGGGACACAGTATATGGCACTCGGAGTGTTATCCCAAGAGATGTTAAGTGACCATATAGGACCTTACTGGGGTACCTATGGGATAGGCTATAGGGCCCTTCAACCTCTGTTGGTCCGTGAAGAGTCCCGGCCACATCTGGTTCACATCTTTGGGACGGTAGAGGCTGTCCTGACGCGTCTGTCCCTGCGTCTAGCACACTCCCGGAGTGAGCTGTGCAACGATTTTCCTCAGCTCACGGGATTCCTGGCCCCAGCATTGAAATAGCAGCCTTTACAGAACAACCACACTATGTTTTGCTAAGGGTTTTTCACTGACTACAAAAACCATCAAAAACCATGCCTATTGTCATTTGCCCCTGCTTTACAGCTGGACAAGTCAAAAGTCCAACAGACGAAACCCCAAAAGAACTGGTCCTGGTGCAGCGCAGTCCAGTCGGGACTGAGTCAGCCAATTCTCAACTGCTCTCAACTGCCAGCTGCTCCAAAAAGGTTCACTCTTCCCAAAAATGGTGTTCAACCCCAAGACGTGGGACCGCCCACCTTGTTCCTTCCAACGTTGACTCCTGAAGGTACTTGTTCTTCGACACATTCTTGTTGTTCCTCTCTTCGGCCACATAGACGCCCTCCTCGATCCACAGGACGCCCTCAGGGGCAAAGAAGACCTTCACATCCTGAGCGGTAACGCGGTAACGCGGTGCTTGGTACGGTGAAGGAACCACAAAAGCCCTTTCACACCATGTTCAATGATTTTGAACATGTTTAAACCAAGGAAGGACGGACAGAAAGAATATACACACAGTAACAGCCTTAGGTACGGTACACGTCTCTTTTTTTGAGCTGAACATCGGCTGCTAAGCCTATACAAGTATAGGCTTGTGTTTTTGGTCGAAGGAGCTTTCGCTTGGAGCTGGTTTACTACTACCTTTCACCTTCCTTTTGCTGGCACGGCCGTGGAGTGTGTGACACCCTGGTGGGATGCAGATGCTACAACTGAGACCATCTGGCCACGTGGGACCGCAAAACTTCCAGCTTCGACGTGTGACGACGTGGGACGGCGAGAAAAAAGACCACCAAAAAGGCGATGTGTGTGTGCGTGTGTGTGTCCTTTGCCCATGCGCTCCCCCCAACGCCGCGTCCCTACCACGCTCCTCGAGCTTTTCAGAGATCACCTGGCTCGAAGGAAGGTCCGATCTTGGCGAAGCCGCTGTTTTGCCGCGAAGCTGTCTGGTCCGAAATCCCTGATTTCAGCTTGAAAAGAGGAGTCCATGGTTTGAGATCTTGGAAGGTTTGAGTTAGGGTGAGCCCCTTCAGACCCAGGCCATCGCCCATCTCCGGCCGGTCCAATGCATCGAACTCCGTGTCGCGACGGGCGACACGTCGCGCGCTGAGGCCGATCGGAGGCCTGATCCGATGGCAACGCATCGAGGCAATCCTTAGCATCCACGGCAGAAGGCGGCGGCGCTGTCACCGGTCGGTGCGCCGCGACCGACCGGCGCGCGGCGTGGTACGCGTGGTACGTCACCCGGACGCACCGGGGGCCAAAAGGATGGCTTTTTCAACATGCTCTGGATTGGGGAGAAGATGTTCCGGATCCTGAGGGTCTTCTGGACTCACTGCAAGCGGGTAAGGCTAATACAGCACATGGCATGGTGACCATATTGTGGCGCAATGTGACACCTACACACACTTCATAGACACAAACTATTGTCAAACAATGATACAGGAAATAGGATCAAAATCCTCACACTACTTACCGATGACCAACCACCAGCCAATTTGCCCAGGAGTCTGTGCTAAGCTTTAAATGGGACGCGTCAGTTGTCAGGAGTTGAACACATCGCAGCAAGGAGCACGAGGCGGATGGACTGCACCCCTTCGTTTGTCCTCGTATGCCCTACACCGGATAGGTGACACATGTCAGTCTTCCAGTTCATTCCATTTCGGTCCATTGATCAGCTTCCGCATCCTTACATACTCCCCTGACTACGTCCAACGTCCCCACCAACGTCCAACGGCGGTACGGCCAGTCCAACCTGGAACGCTCCGGGCCCCTCTACCGAGGTGCCTGTAAGAGTCTGGTTGCCTCCTCGCCGCTGAAGGTCTCTGCCAAAGCAACGGCTGCCCGGCGGCAGCCACTCCCATCGTTGGCCGGGAGGCGCCCTGGGGAGCGAAAGAGCTACCGGAGAGCGACACATGGGGGAGATGGATGAGGATGGGGGAAGATGGTGCGGGGATAGACATAGAATGCTGTCATCTGGCGAGAATCAAAGGGTGCCTGGAAAGGACGACAGCATTAGAGAACCAAAACTCAGTGCATGGCGGCATCGAGCCATCGAAACTATATGGAAACCATGTGTCGGGTTGATAGGACACATATCTTTCGTGAGGGAAGGAGCCAATGGTACTAGTAACATGGCTGGATTCTCTGTCAAATCTGTTGCTCATTCTGAACTAATACTAGCACGTTGTTTTTGTTTAAAAGGTGTTGGGTCAAGACTAATTGGTGGTTGGAGAAAGGCCATAAAAAAGAGACAGCTGCCATCACCTGCCCGTCAACACGAAAAAACAAACAAATCGTCGCTGATATGCAAACTCCTGCATGTGCCAGACCATGGCAAACTAGATATGTTTGCATACGTATGGCATGGGTCACAATGCAGCAGTAGGGCCAGTAGAATGGTTTCACATCACAACCAACAGTCAAGACATGTCAACATGTTTGACTGGGCAACTGGGGACGCAAAGAGTTTCTTCACCTCAAAACCATGGGTGTGTTTAACTTTGTTGGCATGACAATAGAAACCCCTGTGGAAGGACAAACAATGAGTCTATTCGGTCGTTGAGTTTGCCTTAAAAAAATGAGACTCCAAACAAAAACCCATTCAATATAGAAGGAGAGACAAACTTAAAGCCGGTCACCTGTGCCAGTTTAGGCAGCTGAAGGCACCTCGATCTATATCCCCCCATTGCTGCCAAGGCTCTGCCCGTAAAGATCAGTTCTCTCATGGAGGGTCCCGTCCGAGAGCCCGCCTGGTCAACAAACACTCGGTGTCACTCGTGTCAACTCAAACAGTAGAGGGCCCTCACCTGGCGACCGATGCTGCGCGCACTGTGCTGCGCATACGGAGCACCTGACTACGGCGGATCACGCCGACGGCGCGTCGGAAGTTCCAACGAGTCGAGTCGGTGCAATGAATATACTTAAGCCGACATGCTCTAACAAAGAATTACTGTATATAATGCAACAGTAGCACAGCCCACCCCCTAAATCTCTTTAGATATCTGTGACCTCATCAGCCTCACCTCCATCATCACCACATTGATTTCATCTCCTTTCACCCTCCCCGAGAGGCTTGCCTCCTTGAAGCACTTCCCAAAGTCCTTCCTTTGCAAATAGCGCCAGAGTCGACGCGTCGGCCAGCAGCCAGTCGCCAACAAGGGGTGGTGTGCTGCGAAGGACAGCCTCGCAAAGCGCGTGCCGGTGCTGGGAAGAACAGTAAGTCAACCGAAGATGTTCCGGACCGGAACAAAGAATCCTTTCCAGACACTCCATGTATGCCCAAACCACCCCAATGTAGGCATACATGTGAAACATGGAGTGTCTCGGCTTGTGTCTTATGGACTGTGAAATGCCAGAGGGGTGATGGCGATCCGCATCATTGCCTCCCCTGAGCTGATTTCCGTGTCCAGAAGCGATGTTTTTACCGAACATATATTGTTTCAACGGTGCGCGTGCTCCGACTCGCAAAAATCTCACCCAGGGGACAAGCAAAGGACCTCTGGCCGCACATCTCCTTCCAGGGCAGATGCGGCCCTGCAGAGCTCCACTAAGGTCTGTCGCAAGGCTGCGCTACCAACCTGGCCGGCCACGGTTGGGCTGTTGAAAGGATATAGGTGTCGCGGGTTGGTGCTGACAATGTGTCTTTTCTCTCATGACTAGTGAATCAGTCGATACATGTCCAATACCCACACACACAAATAAAGAGAAAACCGAAGCAGTAAAACACCACAGGAAAATCAAACAACTGCAACAGCCCGGCTGCAAAAAAACACCACTCGTTGGAGGCCCAAAGCCACAAGAGACTCAGTTGGAGAAAAAGGGATAATCATGACCCCTCGCAGATGGAACCTGGGAATTCACCCGTAGTTTCGACCGTTATCCTCTACAACCTCCAGTGGTTTTGGGCTGCAGGGCTAATCTCATCGACGAGCCCAGACGTTGGCCTGACGCTTCTGCTTGGGCAGCGCTGATTGCTCTGCCAACCAAGCCACCAGGGCCTGAGTAGAAGCTTCGGCAACTATCCAGAATGCACATAATGCACACGAAAAAACATGTCAACAAATGGAAGAACACCATGCAAAGCCATGGACAAGCTAGACAAAGCCATGGACGACCGAACACAGAAAGGGCATCAGGAGTGGTATCAGAGTGTAGCCTGCTCCGTCCGGCGCTGAGTGATGCAATGGCTTACCATGGCTTACCCATCTGCCCGAGTACCCATCGCAACAGCAAGCCCACCTGCGACAGTGAGAGCAGCAGCGCGGTAGGATCTTTGGCCTGTCAAATCATATGTTCACAGCGTCCGGGTCATCAAAAGCATTCAAAAGCAAGGTGAAAATCATAAAGTCGCCAGAAAGTAGATAGACCTCATATGAGGGTATATGTTTACTTGTATGTTTAAAAAAAGAACAGCGGTCTTTGTGACAATTCCATACAATTCCATGATTACGGTAGCATGGGGGAAAAAAGACCATGGCCCCCTTCAGGCTGACTCTGAAATCAATTCGCATCTCAATCGGTGTGGGCACAGCGAAACGCTTCGAGTGGTGAGGACAGCTGACGGCGCTCGGACGCTCCGTCTGACCGCTCCGCCTCTCGGAGGACCTCCGGCAGGTGCAAGAGTGCCGTCTCGGACGTCGCCTCTCGTGCTGGCGCCACCGAAGGCCAAGCAAAACAGCCTGACTGGTGCGACTCGTAGGGAATGAGGGTGGCTGGATCCAAAGGAATCTCTATTGGGGGCTCATTCCCTCATTCCCTACTAAACCAGTCAGCAGCAAAAGGGTCTTCTCAAGACTGGCCGCCAAAACTGCTCGCTTTGAATCCCAGATGTCCTATGAGCTCGCTACTTGGCGCAAAAAAGCACACATGGCTGGCAAAGAAAATCCTCCAATATCATCCAAAGATCTACACCGGAATTAATATTCTGTATATGCTACCGTCCGAGCATATCCTATATCATATTGTCAGTGGCTTGGGGGAACAAGGGCTTCGTGATGTTTCGTGACATGCCCATTGAACCCATCAACTCCAACATTCCATCAGCGAAGACCTTATACACTCGTTGACCAGTTTCCAAAGAGCCCTTGCACGATGGTCCATGGTCTGTGTTTTTAGGCCTTTTGGCCGCCGAACCGGCTGCGTCCGAGGCTCTTTGGTCTTGCCAGGGGCGCGTTCAGGGCAGGAAGTGTGGAGGCCTTAGCTGATAGGAATTGGTGATGGACATCAGGTCTTACCGTAAGTAACATGAAACACCATATTTTACACCAAATAGGGATACTGATTCAACTGAATCCAAATCATCGGTATCATGCAGTCCACCCACTTTCTTCAGGTTTGACTTTAACACAGGTTGTGGGCTTCAGTCAAGATATATCTTAAAAACATATATATATATAGTATTAAAAACACACACAAAAAAAGTGGAGGGACGATTACATAAAATGCTCTCAGTTGAGCAGTTGGGCAGCACATTTTGCGAATGCGTTTCAAAGTTCACCTCGCGTGGACAGCGCTCAGAACATTCGGTCACAGCTTCAGTGCGGTGTTATGATCTTCTCGTCATGCTCTCCCTAGTGTCTGAGTCCGTGTTTGATTGGGTGCATCCGTGTCTGGTGGACATCCCTGGGCCCTTCTTGCAGTCAACTCCTGCCGGGTCTTCATGGTCTCGAGTCTCGAGTGCGCCAGACTCCGAACATTTGAGCTGGACATCGTGTGAAACGGTGCACGTTGCGGAAGCCCCCAAGCTCGCTCCCAAGCTTCGGGGCAGCTGGACTGGAGAAGGACTCGATCGGACTGGACAAACGGGGTGCACTCCCAATCATCACCCCAACACTCCATGCAACCACCAAACACACTCCATGCAACCACCAAACAACACACAAGCCTACGCGGGGCCTACGCGAAAATAGGTCGGTGGTTGGCAAAAAAACCATGTGCCCCCATAGCTTCGACAAACAAACTTCAAACATCCACTGTAGCCATGCCATTACCCTTCATTTTCCTTGTGTTCCCCACTGGGATTTGCAAGCAAGTGTGAAGTTAAACAACTACAAACCAAACTTATCTTTCCCCAAGAGCCTTGAACAACTTTTAAGGACGTCTGAACAAGAAAATCAATGCTTTCATTAAAAGTGTGCCTACGCAAAGCTGCCTACGCACGTCTTTCAACACCCACCCACGCCCCAAGCAAAACAGCCTCCGCAACTTCTCAACAGTTCCCTTTTTGTACACACCTAATCATGTGCAAAATAAGAAGTGGCTCAACAGCTCCCAACGCGAAATGGCTCAAGAGAACTCAACATATTGCCAACGAAACCAAGTTCAGCAATGGCCAACTCGCATGTTCAAGCTTGAAGAAACAAAAGGATCTTCTAACCTTTGGGCTGACCATGGCGGATCCCTCTGCCTGGTGGTTTCATGTTTGGATCCCTTGGTGGCTCCCTCTTGATCCAGGTGGCTTGCCAAAAGCACCACTGCGCTGCGAACCATCGGCATGCATTCGGCGAACCTGGCGAACCATCCAGTGCCCCGAATCTGGGGGGTTCATCCCACGTGCTAGTTCCGGGCGCCCTTCAGAAAGACACATGAAATGCTTTCAAAAGAGTCAATAGCAAAGATCCTCAGTTCAATTGCCCCAAAACACTCCATTAAACTAATTGGAACTGGTTTCGGGGGGTCAATTTAATAATTTATTACATTTTATAACTATATAAGGTCTACCCAATTTCCAGTAACTAATGATAATGGAAATTATTCAGGTTGGTTAAGGCCTTGTTCCCAATAGTGATTTGCTTGTGGTCAGTTGAATCCAAGTCATCCCAGTGAGCCATTTTTTGCGTCATGAGAGCGACGACGACTCCGCCGTCACGGTGGTCGTCCGAGAGTCGACGTCGACGTCGACGTCGAAGCGCCTAGGGCTCCAACCACCTGGTTGGGGTGGGTGCCAGGGGGGGTTATCTACCTGAGGATGCAGTTGGAGCCCTAGGGATAGATCGACATACTAGCCGCTAGCCCTAATCTGTAATGCATACCTGGACATAATCTATACTACATCTGAATAAGCCCACAACATCAGCACCCACCAAATCGATCACATCGATCACCTCGCCACATCATCGATCGTGCTGTGGCCCCGGACGGAGTGGGTGGCAATTGAAGCCAGTGACCCTCAGCGGGCACTTCCGGGCTTCCAGGGACTCGCCCGGCCAACAAAGCGCGCCAAAACTGGGCCTGGGCGGCGAAGTGGAGGGTGACGGAGATGGAGATGGAGGGTGACGGTGGGTGCTGAGAGAGGGAATGATGACCTCTTAAGGAACGAAACGCGGACACGCCCGGAGTGGTGAAGCGTATATTAGCGGTGTATGGAGAGGCTACAGTCTTTGTTTCTTTCTTTGCCGCTTGTTCAGGCTTTAGATTCATATAGATCATATAGACGGTACCAGGTGTACAATTCAGTGGAAGCTGCAAGAATTGGACCATACGTTGGTTCATGGTGGGCAACTTGTTTCAATCAAGTATGTAGTTTGTATTATTATTGATGTTTTGAAATGTGTTTCGTTTCTGGGTGTGCTTGGTAAACACAAGCTACACGATGCTACAGGCTACAGTGCTCCAAAAGGGGTGTTTGAACTGCGCCATCTACACGAATCTACCAGTACCAGTGACTGACTCTACAACGCGCCGCTACGATTAATTTGGAGTCCAATCACTGCAACGTTTCGTGCCCACCCATCAAATTCAAATCAAATGGTCTTCCGATGCACTTCACCAATCTGAAACGAGCAAAACTGGCCGACGGGTAGATACCCGGCATGCCTTGAGCCTGGTCGACCCGTTCTCTGCTTCGCCGCGCCTGCGCTGCCAGCTCCGCATGGGGTGCTTTTTGGATCACCGGCACGGCGTTCAGGAAGGAGACCCCCTCCTCGCTTTGTTTTTCGCAGCAGGACGGTCTCAAAAGCGCGGTTGGGCGGTGGGAAACCCTGCGGGTTCACCCGGCTTTTGGAGGTGGGCCCTGGGCGGTTGGGCGGTTCGTAAGGTCTGAATCCGGGTGACGAAGCTGCCGCTCGGTGTCTTGGAACATACCTAGACTATACCCTAGGCTTCCCTTCGACCATTCGAAGAAAGGTTAACTTGGTTGCGTAGTGTAAAATCCTCAAGTAAAACAATGGTGGTTCGGGAAACCTGTTAGGGCCCTTCCCAACCCTCCATTTTGGAGACCTGTTGGAAGGTGCTGGTGTATGCCACCCCATTGACCCCTCGACGCCCCTATGCATGCGTGGTTGTCCCTGCAGCGACTTCCGAGTCCACGTTCGCTCCTGCATGATGTGTGGCATGGTTTGCCCTGGGCATGTGCAGGTCCCTCACTGTTCTAAGGTAGAGACCTACACCAGAGATTAACGAACCTGGTTCACTTCCTCTACAGCCCAGTGGTTTTTAGGTTCATCTTCCAGGGCTTAGGCATTTTCGGCAAACCTGACCTGGTGCGATCTTTCCCCAAAGAGGGTGGTTTTGTGAGGTTTCGTCGTGAGGTTTCGTTGGGTGCTTAAGTGCTGTAATTCCTTCCTGCACCCCGTGGCACCGATCGCCTCCGACCGCGCCCGCGGAAGCTCTTCGACTCTTTTGGTGAACGCGCCGGTAGGCTCGGTGAGTGCCGGGTCGCGCGGCTTTTGCGGCGTTTGAACGGGAACTGGAGCTCGCGCTCCACGCGACTCCAGCCCGAAGCCGAAATGTTTCCTGCAGGAGGATTTTTGGATTTTGCTGAAGCGGCGAATGGACCCAATATGTGGCCAAACGTTTGGCTTCAGATCATGAATTCGTCTCAGCCTTTTTCACAGCCATTGATTCGTGTCGTTCGGATATTCTCATGTTCATAGGTTGTGACAGGCACGACCCAAATCGATTATCTAGAATCAAAACATCAAACAAATAGCTGGTTTTCTCCTTGAGTGGTACAGTGGTCGGCCAGTCAGCCCTGGGCGGCCCGCTCTGGGAAGGCCCTGGGGGAGTAAACAAGCCCTGGTGGGCTCCAACCACCCTCAGAAAGCCTCAGAAGGAGGTTGGAACCCCAAGCATCCTCGAAACAGAGCTAGGCCAGGAGTACTATATTTTATTCACACGCGGTCGACGAAGTCGAACGGCACATGGTGGCTCCGAGGTCGAGCGGCCATGCGTCAACAAGCAGCGCCTCAAAACCTCATCGAGGTCGCGCTAAGTCCCGGGAGTAGCGAACCGGCCAAGAGGCAGTAAAGCGTAAAAGATCATCCGAAACACGTCTGGAGATGTCACCACTCCAACCCATAAAAACACAAGGGAACCTCTTGAAGATTCGCAAGTGCGGACGTGCCATGTGGCAGGTGTCCAGACTGAGATTGAAGTGCCCACAAACAAGGTTGAACAACTCCGAGAAAGTCGAAAGCTGAGTCGCCAACGTCTGCCTAACAAGACCACCACAGGGCACTTCGTTCTGGGTCAAAAGTACCCCATCTTCGAAATGGTCTGGAAGGGGCAAATGGTTGCCATCAAGACAAAATCCCACCAAAAGCTCGAGAAGAGAAACATAAACCTTAACAGAAGAAGAGATGTCAACACAAGTGAGCCAGGAAACCAAATTGCCAACCACAGACTCTGAAAACTTGCCTAAACGAATTGAATGACTCAAGATCTCCGGGCCTAGTTGAGCGGCAAGGGAAGCGTCATTAGCTTCAGTGCCAGCTCCAAGGGTAGCTAAGGAGGCCTCCTCAGGAATGCTACACTCAGTAGGTCTCGACAGACTCAAATTCGCCAGATCTGTGAGGAAGGACAGCTGTGCACGGGTTGCGGTAAATGCCACCTCTTCAGCTGCGCAGTAAGCACTGTATGTGGCCATGAAGGCATCTGAGCGCAAATGGTTCTGCCATCTGGCCAACCGATCTGCAAAATCATTGCCTTTCTTGCACCAATCAGCTCGAGGTGAAGCACATTGATCCTCTTCCATGTGGGAGGAAATCTTCTGAAGTGTCACCTGCCCATGATCAAGCTGTTCAACCGTTTTGAGAGCTTGCTGCCAGAGACCCTGGTGTTTCCAACGAGGAGGGACATCCAAATGTTTCTGTAGATGCCGAAAGTTGTCCAAAGCATATTGGCTGTCAGAAAAAATGGTTGCCCGCGCACCAGTTCGCAGCACCCAAAGAAAAGCAGAATGAACCGCCATGGCCTCCGCCAAATCAATGGATTGAATCAGGCCCGGCACTGGACCTTGGGACAAGGTGCGCTGTGGCTCCAATGTAATGACTGACCATGCCGCTAGAGCTTGACTGGGCTTCTTCGGCGAAGAGCAACTGCCATCGGTGAAGATGAAGGTGTGCTCGGCCATCACCGTGAGGTCAAAGAAATCTTCACGACAGTCAGGTAGGCTCAACAGGGCTTGCCAATATTCCCAATGATGAGGATTGGCTGGATGGAGTCCATGGTGTGTGAAGGCCATTGATCGTTGCGACCACAGCCGGACCTCCGCCGGGTATCGTCTACGCACTTGATGATAGTAAGGACAATGTAGCGCTCTATGGGCAACTGTGTCAGGTTGTTGGCAAGAAGCACAAAGGCCCGAATGCTGATCATCAAAGTGCGCTTTAGCATGCGACGTGAAGAAGGTGCCATCCTGAATCGTGGCCAAAAGCTCAGCAGCATCCCTTTGGGGGAAAACCAAAGAGCGAAAAGAAGCAGCCCAATGAATGGAGTGCAGGCCGGCAAAGTCTTTCCGATGACGTACTTTAAGACATACTTTCTGGTGCCAACTATACTGTAAAAGAAGCTGGAGACATTCGAGAGAAAGCGTCCAAAAGTTGATGCGCAAGTGCTGAATCCACAGACATAGCTGAGCATCAAGGTGCCAGTCCAGGTAGCCAAGACACTGCACAACCACATGCAGAGGACCTTGACTTCGGAACCCCGGATTATCACCAGACTGTAACCATAGCTCCAAGATCAACGGAAATTGATGCACCATACGCCAAAAGGTGGAAAGAACCTGCCAAAGTTGTTGATACTCTGGATCCATTTGAGGCAACTGCATGAGCGACCAACGAACATGAGGGCTGGCACCAGCTCTATCCCAATGTAATGCTCGCATGGCAGCAGAGCGAAGTTGATCAATAGCGGCCACTGGTAAGAGACGATTTGCCACACCATGTAACACTTTGGGCCAGGTGATAGTGCGTATAGCAACAAGCTTGGCCCACCGCGGCGCAGAAGAATGCCGAAGGATACGCCAATGATCTGCCACTGCGCCGATTCTGCTTTGAGCCACCTGTGTTCTAGAGACTCGGGAGTAGGTCATCTGAGCGCCAAGGTCTTTCGCCGCCAGCTTGGTGGCATAGCCCAGGTTGCGTAGGGCACGTCTGGAGTCAGGCGTCGTAGCCCATGCAAAGCACTTCCCAGGATCAAGACAAATGTCCCAGGAGTCCATGAAGACCTGCAGGACGTTGATGCCATGACAAAGCTCACCTAGTGCCGATGCAACGAGCTGAATGTTGTCCACGAAAACCGGACAAGCCACTCCAGCGCTATAGATCTTGAGATACGTGTCCAAAGCCGTATTGAAGGCCAGCATGGCAATGCAACTGAGTGGATCCCCTTCAGGGAAGCCGGTACTGGAGAGAAGAGCATCTCCAGTATGGCTGGCGATCCTGAAACGTCGCTGCAGCTGCGTGAGTGCTTGATTCCAGGCTTTCGCACAGTCAGTGGGGAAGCCCATGAGCTGAAGGAGCAGGAGGATGGGAGCTCTTGGCAGCGTGTTGAAGCATTTGACCAGGTCAGCATTATACCCCAGCAACTCAGACTGCATGGTGTAAGAAGACTGAATGAGTGTCTGGAGAAGAAACCAAACGTCCTCTGCTCTGCGTCCTGGCACGTAACCAAACACCAAGGTTGGGATGATCTTGGTGAGGTAAGGAAGGTAGGCCCTACAAATGCCTGTCGCCCAAAGCCGGTACAGGAAGGAGATGAGGACGATGGGGCGATAGTGCTTAGCCTGGTCGGCTATAGGTGTCTTCCGGATGGGGATGACAAAGCCGGTGACAAGCTGTTGCGGCCAATCAGCGCCCTCCTGGATCTTGTGGAACATGTTGACCAAATCAGCTTGCTTGTGAGCAGGCAAGTGGGCGATGTCATCACGAGACCAGGCATCAGGACCACGTGTAATCCGTTTGCGATAATGGGAGGTCAAATACGCAAACTGCGAGGAAGTCCATTGAAATGCCAATGGAGGCAGCTTTGGCATGTAACGCAGCCCAAAAGCGACAATGCGATTCCAGTGTGAAAGAGCCAGGCCAGAATGCTTTTGCCAAATGGGTGTCCACAGGTTGGCGAGCTCAGATTCAATGGCCTGGAAGGTGTTGCACTGCGTACGAACCACGACTGTTTGCCCAGGAGCTGAGAGCAGGTCACTGTTCAGGTAGTAGTCGTCACCTTGCTGCTGTTGGAGCTCAGCAGGCTCAAGATTGAGCGTAATGCTCTGATCCCCTTGCAGGTGAAGATGGCATGAAAGACGAACTGAGTGATCATTGTTGACTTGCAAGATCTGGGCCTGCTCTTCCTTGACAAGGTGAGTGATGGGCAGGTAGTCTCCTTGCTTGAGCTGCTTGGTGAGAACTTGATTGTGATGAAGATGCCGAGCTTGGACAAGATCATGCCTGCGACGAAAGTGCCAGGATTCGAATTGCCTGAAGTTGGCCTCAAAGTCGTGAAGGAGGATCTGCGCAATGGCATGCGAAGGCGGCCACTCCGGAAAGGAAGGGGGTGACCCAACGTGCTGAATGGGACGACGCAGCCACCACCGTCGAAATCCATCGCGAAATCCATGAGCATGAATGATGGCTCGCCAGGTGGACATCTGGTCAACTTGAAGGTGCCAGTGAGTGGTAGCAGTGGCTCGCTGACAGTAAGCCTGGAGTCGCCGAAGCTGTCGACACCAAAGATGAACTGCTCGGCAGAGAAAGCCGCTTTTGGGTTGAAAATCTCCATGTCGACCTTGTCGAACCGGTACAAGCTGAACCGGCCTCGCACGGGTGTTAAGAGTTTGTCCTCTGCCCCAACAACCTGACGGTAAGTCAATAGTGGCGGTGGTGCGGAGGGCCTGTTCTGTGGCTCTGGACCAGTGAACGAAAGACTGAGACATGTTCATGGTGTCCCAGTGATGGGCAGCAGAATCTGGTAGTCGATCAGGGCGAAGATGCTGCCAAGGAAGATTGGATGGCATAGGCCAGTGCTGGTGCCACCAACGTGATTCAGGAAGACGAAAGCGGCCATAGAGAATGGCATGGTCAGCAAAGTGCTCCGAGTCCACGTGCACCTCAAGGAGCCATTGTTGAAGTTCTGGAGAAAGCCATAGATGATCGCGAATTGCCTTGCCCTTGGAAGTGGGAAGCCGATGCTGGGAGAAGCGCTTTTCTGCCAAGTGTTGGATCTCTTCCCAACCGGCCAGTCTCCATGTAGTGAAGACCTGAAGGTCCTCGGTATCACAGTTGAAGTCACCAGCAATGAAACGTGGACCGTGAGAGGAGAGCACAAGCTCTGCGGTAAGCTGCTCTAGGAGCTGAGAAGAAAGCTGTTTAGCATTCCGATATGTGGGTCCAGCAGGTGGTGCATAGACACTTGCTCCAAGGAGCGTGTGCTCATGCAGGGCAAAACTGGAGAGCATGATCCGACCAGATTGATAGGAGGCACCCTGCCATTGAAGAGGAACAGGATGAATGGGTCCCGGAGAGATCTGTGCCACTCCCGTCCACGAGCCCGCAAAGTCAGAGTGAGGCCTAAAGGGAGCAAAATGCCCATGCTTGCAATGAAGTTTGTATTGCGTCATCCAGTTCAGTTCACGCTGAAAGCGAGCAAAAACGGGTTGACTTGCCTGAGTTTCTGCCACATTCCATATTCCCCATGGAAGCGAAGCGAATGCAAGTGCCTTGCCATTGATGCCACTAGGATTGGCAGTTCCCACCACCAAACAAGGGGCAGAAGCAGCGTGCTCATCATCTGTGCTGACATCAATGGAGGAGCCAAAGACCGGGTTCAGGCGAGGAAAGCCCCAATCCTCGTCTGAAGCCACCGTAGTGCGGGAGCTGTGGAAGGCCGTAGGGCCAGGATCGCTGGCTTCACCAAGTCGGAAGCCACCCCAAAGCAGAAGTAACCAAAGAAAAGAACGGCAGGAGCGCCGTGGAGAGCGGGACAGCCAAGAAGGCCCCCGCTGCCCTAGTCAATCCGAGGTGCGATGTCGCTTGCTGAGAAGCGACTCCATGCTTTCCAACTGCCGGGCCATTGAGGCTTCCAAATCATTTTGAAAATCCTGGCGAAGCTTGCCCACCGATTGATGCAACTGCTCGGTCCGCTGGTCTGTGCGCGTGACCTCGTTGGTAAGCTCAACCAATTGACCCTCCTGTGAGGACACCTGCTTGGAAAGCGCCTGCATGCGTTCACCAGCTTCAGCGAACCAGCCAGCAAACTGCGTGGATTGTGCTTGCAACTCAGTGATGCTGGCCTCCATTTGCGAAAGACGAGAGTCATCTGTGTCCATGTAGGAGTCGGAGAAAGAGCGAAGCTGTTCCCGAACTTGTTCTGCCACTGACGTCTGAAGCTGCTGTGAAATCTCATCCAGCTTGGAGGAAGCTGGCGGAGCAGAGGAAGCCGGAACTGAGTGAAGCGCAGTGGCCCATGGATCCCGGACCTGCAGGGGGTCCTCACCCAAAGGAGCTTGAAGCCTTTGCAGGGTTTGCAGAGAACCCATCACTTGAGGAGGAGCACGACTTTTGAGAATCGCAACAGGGGTGATGATGAGCGATGCTGAACCGAGTTGCAGAATTGGTGAGGAGAAAGCAGCCTCTGCCCCAATTAGCCAGTAACGACCTTCAGGAGTGCCATGAGTGGGCCGTAATGGCCGAGCTTGCCATCCAGCTGCTTGCAAGGACTGGGCAATTGATTGCTTGGTGGAGCCATATGGCCAAGGACCAACTTCAAACTGAAGAGCATTGCTGCCTGCAACAAAAGGGAGCTTTGGAAGAGCAACCTTGTGCACTGCTTCTTGATCAGTAGCCAGGCAGCGAAGTCCGTAGCGTTGATGAGAACGAACAACATGCAAAGCTTTGGCCGTCTGACATTTGGTGTGTATGGCCTGCTGCAGATCACCTTTGATCCAAATCACGGCATACTTGGTGCTTGGCCCTTTAGATACTGGTTCACGTAGTTCAGTGTAGAGTCCATCCGTGGCGGAGATAGCCAGAATGGCAGGAGCAGCTGAAGGAGGAACTCGGACCATGATGCCAAAGGACGCAGCTTTCTTGGAGTTGGCCGCAGCTCCAGTAGCATCGCACCACTTCCATCCAAAAGCATCAAGGATGACCATGTCGATCTCCTCCTCTAAAGCCGGGTGAAAGCGCTTGCAACTGGAAGCATTGTTGCAAGTGGAGCCATCGCAGAACTGAAGACACTCGAAATGTTGCACAAGCGCCTTGAGAGGTCTGCCAATGAAGTCTGTCCAGGAGTGTGGCCATTGATCTTGGTAAACCTGAAGCTTGAAGAGCTCAGGGACGAAGGTGGCAGGACTTGGCTCCGGTCCCAAAACCTTCTTTGCCATGTGATCTCCAAGCTGTATACAGGATCCACGAATCAAAATGGGATCGGCACTGTCGGCGAGCAGTGCTGGCCAGACCATGTGCTGGACAGTGAGCTTCCCATGCATAGTGCTCGGAATTTCTGTCGTTGTGAGCATGGCGAGCGAATTGATCGATATGGTCTTCTGACCTCTCAAGAAATTGGCAGCTTGCTCCACGGTACCCAAAATGATGCCATTGGATTCAGGTGTCACTTTGTCGAGCTGAAGCTGTGGGAGTTCGTGATCATGTTCATCCACAAAGGATTTGGGAGCCAAGATCAGTGCATTTGGAGACACTGGCGGTGCCGGTTCAGCTCGCTTCTTGGAGGGCTTTTTGGACGGACCGGATGCGGCACCGTGGTGCTCCTTGGCCCTCTGTTGGATGTGATTCATCAGCTCGTTGTGTTGGATCCACTGAAAAGGCCGTTGCTGGGCGTTTGCCAACTGCTTCAGTGCTGACCATGGGTTGGCCTGGGAAATGGCCTTGGCGATGGGTGCATGGCCAAGCTTCTTCAAAGCCAAGGTGGCGCGGGCTGGAGAATCAGCTTCAGGAACTCCCTTAGTGATAAGGAATTTGCATAGCCAAGCATGTGTCTGAGAGTACTCGGCAGGCCCACAACCCTGAAGCTCCTCCTGAGACTTGAGCGAGTCAGTCCAGTCCTGTAGTGCATCCACGGTCATGGCCGACCAAAGATTGAAGAAGATGCCCACATTGTGAAGCAAGACAGCTGCACAATAGTCGCCATCCAGCTGTTCCAGCGGAGTCCTCTGACGAAGCTTTGGAGTGGCCATGCTGAAAGCAAGGGCAACGGTTGAAACCACCGAGGTCACCAAATCCAAGTGAAAGTCTGGAAGTCCATCAAGGTAGTGAAATTCCATGAGCGAGAAGTCCAAGATGAGGAGACTCCAATGAGACTTCGCCAGAAGTGGAAAGATGAGCCAGGTAAAGGGTGTACTGTGCTCGTTGAGGAGAAGCTTGGATGCAAAGCTGGCTGGCCGGTTGATGAGCAACTGAATGATGTGGTGAGGAACAACCTGCACGGCATCCAGGATGTGCGATGGCAGAAGTTGGAGGATGGTGTGAAGTTCACCATAGAGTTCATGATGATGCACTCCAGTGGCTGCAGGAGATGCCCTGCCAAGTCCACGAACTTCTCCTTGCTCACTTTGCCACAGAGCATCACCCCATCGATAGCTGCGGCATAAGTTGCTGAACTCAATGCCATGCTTGTAGCTGAAGCCAAGGGATTCAAGAACTGATGACAAACGAGTTCCTGCTGGTCCATGAAAGTCATACTCAGTAATGCCATCGTGCAGCTTGACTGAGATGAAGTCCGTCGGAGCTGGCCGAGAGTGTCTAGGCTGCGTGACAACCACATCGTAGGAACCTCCTCGCAAGAGAGCATTGGGAAGCTGTGGGATGCCATCCCGAAAAAGAGTGACACGATGAGCCCAACCCAAAAGTTGTTGGTGTGCATGAAGAAACTGCTGCGCCGATGTCATGGGGTCAAGCAAGCACGAAAAGCTGGAATCAGCCTCCTTGAAGCATACCTCCTGTGGATGTCGGTGCTCACATGTAGGCCAGAGCTGCTTGCAGACCTCAAGGTTGTTGTTGATGTAAGCAAGAAGCACTTCCTGAGGATTGGAGAAGTTCAAGGGCCAAGAACCAAATCCATGCTCTTGCAATTGATGTAGAACATGCAAGAGAACCCACATGGTCTGTAGTGGAGCAGCTGTCTGACCAATGAGAGGCAGATCACTCCTCGCCTGCTCTAAGTTGTAGATGAAATCAGCCGGAAGACTGCACAGATAACCCGCCTCACATGGGTGTAAATGCCGATAATGCTGAGCTGAAAAGGTGGATGGAAGCATCGTGAGAGCCACACCATCTCGCAAAAGCCGCTCATGGCTCAATCCCTGATGCCGACAGCCACAAGGGCATGCATATAGATGATGTCCAAGGCTGTGAAGAAGAGTAGGGCAGGATCCTGACTGTCGCAATTCATGGTTCTCCAACACCAGGGTCGATGCATAGAAGTCTTCCTCTTCAGGCGTCCATGATAGGGCTTCCTCTTCAGCTCTGGACCAAAACGGCCAAGAAGGCAGAATGTCACCAACTGTTTGTAGGTGAGGAAACCTGGGCAAAGAGGGCAAGATGACATTGTTGGGAACTGCCTCTGCTGGAATGAGATAACACCACCAACGAGTCCTTTGACATGGCCAGACATCGGAGAGCTTGAGAATCTGCTGTCTGCACTCAAAGTTCATGGCTCTCGCAAAGGAACATAGAAGATCTTGAACTTGTTGATACTTGCCAGTGGTAGGCGTGCATTCCAAGATCACATAGGCGGAGTTGAAGAGGAATGCAGCGTTCAAAGCCGCCACAAACACTTCAGATCTACTATCCCCAAAGGCCTTTTGATCACACATCACACTAAAGGGGGGACACGGAAATCCACAGAGGAGCCCAACTTTGACCCCCTTCATCAAAGAAAAAAGACGTGCCAAATCGTCAGGGTTGCAAATGTCCCCTTCCAAAACAAGGCTGTCATGATTTCTCCTGCAAGCTGCGATGGCCAAAGGAGAGAGGTCCATGCATGCCATACTCTTCAAACCCAAGGCACTAGCAGCGGCAGACATGCCTCCAAGCCCTGAACACAGCTCGATGATCTGATCTGCCAAGAAGCCTCCAAGGCGCACGACCCGAGTAGCAGGGATCTGCTCCAACCTCAGATCTATTCCACCATCACCAGCAGTGATCCAGCCATTGAAAATGGAAAGATCTTCGCCAGTCACAAAGCCGTGATTCTTCCACTCGATCCTCAGTCCACGAACCTTGGTGGCCACCTGGGTGGGTGAAGTCACCTGCACACGGAGACTCGCCAGGCAAGGCGCCTGAAAGGTCTCCAACCAACACGGATGCGCCATCCCACGGAACCGACGGGCCTTCGTCGAACAAGCCTACCCCTGGAAGGTTGAGCCCACAGCTTCCAGGAGTACTATAAAACGCTTGCACAAGTGATTTGTGAAACATGACCTCTTGACACCTTGACCAATGGCTAAACAATCCCACCTTCCTTCAACCCAAAGTTTGTCAGTGACCCTTTCAGGTTGCTTTGGGAGACGGTATTAATATATCTATCTGCAAGCAAATTGCCTTCCCAGATTTCAATTCCTCAAAGTAGTATAACTATAACCCTTCCCAGATTAGTACCCCCCATTGTTCGTAGATGAACATCCTCTTCCTTTGATGGTTTCGGGGTGTGAACAACGTCCTGCTCGTTCGTGTAGCGAACCCCGTGCTCCACCCACCCGTTTCGAAGCGAACCAGTTTCCCCGATGTGGGCGCTGTGTGGAGGGATTCCCCTCGTCCAACGTGTGGACGTCCCAACGTCGTCATGCGCAGCGTGCCCATCAACACAACCGTGGCCCATCTCAGAATCCACAGCGTGCGACCCCGAATCCAACTATACTCCCTGACTGGCCTGGCCGTGGAGGGAAAACGGCCACTGAAGACTCGGATGACCATGGAACCTGTTTTTTATGGCCCACATGGGCCTGAGATATCTAGATTAGATCGTGTGGTTCTCCAAATGAAGGTTTTTGTCCATCAACACCTCCATGAACCAGGCTGTTTTGAAAGCGCTTGTGCTGGGCCATTTTCAGCAAAATCAGAGGGCACCTCCGCGGTTTGAGCAGCACCATCCCTTTTGAAAACCCACGGGGCAGGGGAAGGAACCAATCCTGTGCACTTGGACATTGTGCAGGAATGACGTCGTTGCATGCGGTTCGTGGTATGTAGCGGGCTCAAAGAAAAGAAGTCAAACATCCGAAGATGAAAGCCCTAGACCATCTTGGAACCGGGATTTAACGAATCTTTAACCACATACAACACCTCTTTAATTTGCAAACATGTGTTCACCAGTTTGTGTCATATCCATAGTCGGTCAGTAGGCTAGCCAGCCAACAAACTAAAGCATACACCACCTCCCTGCAACAATCATGGAAGTGGACAATGGTCCCAAGAAAGGGCTTCCCAAATTCCGTGTTAGTTCCAAGGGAGAGTGGAACATAGTGGAACCATGTTTCTTGGCAGGGAGGGTATACTTTCCACTGCCAACTCCCCTAAGAACCAGGAGACACCTTCCATCGGTCGTTTTGGGTGGGTCTATCCATCGATCGCCAAGCTGTCGATCAACATTTCTAGGACCCTAGGACCAACATGCTCGCAAAGGGGGCCCTTACCTCGCAATTGTTTCTTGTCTGGACCGTGAATAATGTTGCAACATGGTGCAACTACAAATCGGGAATTCAGCAAAAACAAAAGACATCGGGCTAAAACATCATCCAACATTGAAATTCATCAGGTTGACCCAAGAAAAAATGTCTCGAAACGAAACCGCAGGGTTGTATGTTGCTGTGTGCTACGTGCTTCTGTTTGAAGGAAATGTCCGAGCATGCACCGAGTAAGTAGGATGGCCACCGCCTATTTAAACGTTCATTCCTGAGCTGTACAACTGCAGGCAATTATAAAATGCGCAAGCCGCTTGCGCCTGTATGGTCTGGGAACAGCATCAAAATACATCATTCGATCATATTCGATCGCTGTTATGATTTCATCGGCCGTCCATTCTTTTGGGGACATGGGTGTTCGGAATATGTCATTCAATTTGGCCTGACCAGCAGTTTTTCCGGCACTTTCCTGGCAAAGCTTCTGCCCTGAGCTCAAACCAACAATCCGTCAGACCGCCAGACCCGACGACCGGACCCGGTGACGGGGGGACCCCAATGCGGTGACCAGCAAGCAGAACGCCCGGTGCACGAAGGCCCTTGCTTTAAGATAGTAAGATGAAGAGGATGAACCCACTCCGCCCAGGCCGGTGACGGATCTTTTGGAATGGGGAGAGACCCCCGAGACCGTCTCGGTTGGCCACACGAAAGCGCGTTTCAAACGATGAAGATGATCATCCAGATACGATGACATCAAGATCCTATCACCTACCCTAAAACCAGGGGGGAAATAGCTTGAAAGGCACTGTGACAGGGCCAACACTACACCGGATCCGGTCAGTCGAGCATGTTGAACAGTTAGGCCACCTGAACAATAAAGGAGGCCACTGGTTTTAGGCTAACAATGGCTGACATGATAGCACTGCGCAGCTTTGCGCTGCGAAGTAACCAAGAAATCAGGAAACGGTTTGGAATTCGAGGTGAGTCGCTACAAAGTCTAATTATCGTTTGTTTGTGGGTCACTACAAATAAAAGGAAATGAGGACCGCCGCACTTGAGCTTTGATCTTCAGGCCACGGCTACTCCTTGCCTTCTCCTTGCGAGTCCAATCCAGTGGACCACCTCTGCTCCCGTTCCGACCATATTCTGCCGGTCAACTCGACATCCTTTGGATGTCCTTAGATGGGGCAAGGTAAGCAGGAGACAGCCGAGAGGGTCTCATATAGCCTTCTGATTGGATTGGAACCATCGATGGCCAAATGGTTCACTGTTGATTCACACCTCCCGCAGCATCGATGTAAAAAGCCATCTCCCGAGATGTGTTCCGAGTTGGACGTGTTGCACGACACAACGACACAACGTCAGGGCATCGTCTCGATGGGGGAAACCCATGGTCAGGTCGTTGCAGGTCCCCAAGCATCGAATCGAACAGCAGTGCTACGAGTAGTCCTCTTCTTACGTCAAGTGAACACGCCGTAAGTCTTGCAGTCAAATCCAACACATGTCACATGATTCCTCGAATCCGCACAGGGGCTTCCACTCACGGCAAGCCAAACATCCTTCAATCAGGCCGCTGTGCAAGCCAGGCTTTCAAGTCCGGTATCACTGCTAAAAACCACCAATGGTAGATGTTGTGCATTTTTTTGTCCGCCACAAGGCCACCAATCATGTGAAGAAAAGGGGATCTGCCATCCTGGAACACATATCTGTTGCAAACCAGGAATGTTTCTCAGGTCAGCCATCTTTTTGGGGTAGTGTTTTGTGTCTGTTTACATGGGTTCCCTCCGCCTGTCTCGGGGTCATTCAGCTGCGGAATTTCCAGCCCAGGTGCGGATGATTTTTTGTCCTTCGGAGTAGGTGAGACCTGAGTTTGAGAAGACGCTTGGACATGCCATATGTCTGAACCCCGCAGCCTGAAAGTTATTATCGTTGACCCTAATAACAAGCGGTATTAACAAATTCACAAGACTATACTGACATATAAACGCTGGAAGTCCGAGACCCTTCTTAGAAAGGTTGATCTGCTTTTGTAGTGCAAAATCATGCAAAATCCTTAGCAAAACATATTACAGACTATTAAACTCATGGTGCTTGGGCTCCTAGGGTACATGTTATATTGCTGGCCTGGGGCACATCCCCCGCGTCCGGTGTGGCCAACGGATGAACCACCAGTTGAACTACAAATGAACGCTTCATCAATGAGGGCTATTACACAGCGAACTGGTGGGGGCCGCCCCACAAATTTACCTCTCATGTTTGCAACTTGACGTATCCGTGCTTCCAACCCACCAAAATCAACATGATCCCTTCAAATCAACGGAAAACAGCCAATCTCCATCTGTCCAGGCACAAAGTATTAGACACTGTGAGCTTCCTCGCCGCTCTAAAAATTCAACCTCGCTGCAGCGGTTACACCTAAGCACTCGAGGGGAGGCGCCGCTCAACTGTTTGGTGGTCGTTCGCAACTGAAATATTCACCAATGACAGGAAGGCTTGTCAAGTCAACCATTCTCTTGAGAGATAACCAGCTACAGTAGAAACATGTGCATGCTGCTGCACTCTACCACAACTCTTGGCACAATGCCAAGGAGTAAGTTAAAATTAACTCATAAATCAGCTCAAAATTCAAAGCGCACACTTGGTGCGGTAGGTGGCCAAATGGCTCTTTTCAGGTGGACCACTTTATCCAGAAGTCGACGTCGCCCCCCCCACACCTTCCATTACCTTCCAACCCACCCGACGCATTTTTGACGTGTCATCTTCCCTCCCAGCAGCCCGGCGGCTGTCATATGATCCGTGGATTGCAACTCCTCGACCTGTTTCGGTGAAACTCGGTGCGCAACGAAGGACGGCAGGTGTTCTCGAACACGTCGAGGGTTTTGGTTCAGGGTGAGGGCAGTGTGTTCAGATTGGGGAAAGCCTGGTCGAAGAAGTGTGAACATTACTCAAGTATTTTGAAGCAGAGTTTAACTGTTCATAGTTTCTTGACCATTTTAAACTTGGGATACATGTGAAACATGTGTGAAGAAGATTCCGATCTCAACTTCTCAACTGTTGCATCGTTGTGTCCTTGGACTACACATTCAATTAAATCAACATCGTTGGTCATCCACAGTCCGAGTTCACTGCCGCAGCTGTTTCGTGCTCTCGGTGCTGAAAGAGGCGGCTGGTTGGGGGTGTCGATGAAGCCCAAGGTCCAAAGCAAACTGGAGACGCTCTATCAACCGGAGAATGGCCCCTTTGAATTGTCGTCTTTTCTTTGAAGTGGTTTCAGAGAAGATGGTTCAATCCCCAACATAGGTGGTTTAGAAGGACACCCAAAGGCATCTTTGGGTGTGCACCATCTACTCTGAAACCACCGTCCTGTGTCTTGGAAGCTCTGCTTTTTAGAGGGGCACTAGGTACGGTTGAAAAGTCGAAGACTGCGGAAAAGACTGGTCCGAGCGAGCAACAACACCGTCAGCCCGAGAGAGTTCAAGCAAAGGAGGGTCCGGATCGAAGGTCTGGATCGAGGGTGTTGTAGTTGGACCGAAACCAAAGAGAGGTTGAGGTTACCAAGGTTCACTTCCAACAAAGGTTGAAGAACCCTATAGGCTATCCCAGTTCGGTACCCCAGGTGACGGGTCCTATTTACGGTCACTTGACCTCTCTTAGTTGTAACGGGTTTACGATCTTGTTACAGCAAGACTTCTGAGTCGGCAGCCTTCGAGGGAACAATGGAAAAACGTGTATCTAAATAAATTATTCATTGCTTGTGGATGCGAACATGTTCTTGTAACTCTGCAAGGTATATCGTACATACTGTAATAATTTAAATATATATTAAGTTATATATAATATAAAACGTGGCCTTGTGAGCAAGCATCTCAAATATCCTAAGTCAGGAGAAGTATCCAATACGGCGTTGAAACGTCCCATTCTGCATAGATCCCTCAACGCATCGATGGATCGAAAAACCCTCAAATAAAAACACCTCCAAAGCATTCCAAATGTGGGAAGCATGTCACGATCATGCATCATCATGCTCTAAAGGCTTTCTGCAAAGACCAGCGTCACTCACATCCACCTCCAGTTCATGTAAATCGTAAATCCAACTATCCACCACTCTCCCACTCCGCTTCTTCCCATCTATCAATCTCCTCCCAATCTCCCAACAGAGGTTGAAGAACCCTATAGGCTATCCCAGTTCGGTACCCCAGTAGGGTCCTATTTCCGGTCACTTGACCTCTCTTGGATCCCGTCCCTCCAACACCGACGCCACGGGTTCCGTTCCGCTCCCCTTCCGCGAGACAGCGCCTCGTCACCTCGACCTGCTCGGCCTCGCGCTCCTTCTCGGGGTTCGAGGAGCGGCGTTCGCGGAACTCCGTCGAGGCCAGGCCAATTGAGGCCCCGGGCGGGCCTCGGCATGACGGACGCGGATCTGGAGGAGCCGCGAGCGGCTTGGCCTCCACAAGGTGTTTTTGCGGTGTTTCTTTTTTTTAAAAGGACATTGGAGGAGTCGATGCGGTCTGTTACAACTGGTGGTTGTTCACGTGGGGGTATCTATTAATCAACAGGCCCGGATCTAATTATAATGTTGTTTTCTTTTGGTTTATGTGATTTCTTTTGTTTTTGGTGCTGGGATGGGTGGAAAGCAGATTTTGTGGCAGGTGCAGCCCTTTGTGAACTTCGGAGTGCTGACACGCCGGAATGGCCCCTTCCTTCTCTAAACTTCACCCTCATCTGGCAACAGGTGTACTACATTGGAATGGCCTCTTTCTGCTCTAACTGGGTGGCTCTTCTAAATTTGACCTTTGGGTGGCCAACAAATGGCATTATAGATTTTAATGATCCTTTCCTCCTCTAAATTTTGCCTGAGGGTGGGTCACACGGTCATGCTAAGTTTGAACCTCTCACAAAGGTATGCCGTGCGGGTCACAAAAGTATGCCACGTGTTCATGGCTCCTTCCTTCTGAAAAACAATCCCCTTCCAACTATTTCCAAACTGTTGCATTGCTCGCATTCCTGAAGGAAAAGGCCACTTTACCAGACCCAGAAAGCGCACAACCGAGGAAATGCATTGTAAAGTGCAACTTATTTGTTCTATACATATTCCTTTTTTCATCTCCTTTGTTGGTTTGTCTTGCTTATTTTTGGGGGGGGAGGGTCTGAGGCATGGCATGACGATTTTTCCTTTTGGGGGCGGGGGGGGTATTTTTGTTGGGGATGGGCCTATGGGGCGTTATGGGGCGTGGGTTCTTCACGTGATGCAAGACCTCAAGACCCTGGGAAGCTGGGAGGCGAGTCTGGAGAGAGAGTGCCGAAGGTCTGTCCCTCATCAAACCTTCCCTCCTTCCTTCCTTCCTTCCTTCCTTCCCTCTCCCTTGAGTACCAGACAGGAGAAATAAAAGCAAACACATATCCTTAACAAAAAAAACACCCTTAATCAGCCAACCAATAAAACATAATAGCTATGTGACTCCATTTGGGACAAGTCATTTGAGTCATGCATGCTCCTGCATTTCTCGAGTGTCCTGCAGTCACCCAAAGGTGTGCACACGTGTGAAACTCAACTGGCTGGTGAAGCTGCTCTCCGCTGGGAGGCGGAGCTTCCGCACCTTCTGAAACCAAATCCATCCCGACAGATTCCCGTCCCCATGCCTCACTGCTCTAAGGAACACATCAGCCGATGGGTCGCCGTCTGTCGCCCTGCCAGCATTTCCTCTCCTCCCCCATCGCCAAGGCACTAAAGACTCCAATGGGTGTCCGCACCAAGCGTCGCGCTGGACGCGTGTGGCCGTGGCTTTGCCGCGAGGCCCGTGACGCCGTCCGTGACTCGTTCCCGAGTGCGGCGCTGGTGGTGGGATGCTCGAAGGAGGAAGACCTGCAGTCGAGAGACCACAGGGGTCGCACCGGTGGTACAGTCGAGATATCCCAGACACGACTAATGGGACTGCCATAGGACTGCCGATCAGTTGGGGTGGTGCCAGGGGGGTCAATGGGGAGGTATATATGGTATACATGCAGTGTCTGGGTATGGATCATAAATTGTTTGATTTATCTTTCGGGTGGCTTTTCGAGGTGTTTATCCTTGGTGAGAGTTGATCCACAAGTTTCATGGCTCAGGTTCAGCCATGTGCTTGGGACCGCATGCAAAGCAGGTCCAAGCACTGCAAATTAGCTGGTCCAAACATTGGGATGCAACCAATCTATTCAACTCTCAATTAACCAACATTACCAGAACCTATCATCATATTATAAATCAAAATGCTCTTCATAAATGATTCAACCAACATTCAATCCAGTTCATGAGTCAAACTACAAGTATACTGTCCGTTCTACTTGCAGGGCTGTTGTGATGCACTATCGTTGATCATGCAAACATATGTACACACCCAAATTCCACACCTTCCATGTATGTGTCCATGCGTTCTGGTTCAGTGATTGAAGCGCGCATTCCGGATCATTGTGGCCTCCTTCGGTCGCCGCTTCGAAGGCTCCATTCACTTTGGGTGACACGTCTCCTTTTGTTGTTTGGCCATGCTCCACGTGGACCCTCCCTGTTTCATCCTCGGAGTGTGCCATGCCTATGGCTGGGCACGGCTTGGATGCCCATCCGCCCGTGCCGCACACTGATCCGCGGCCGCGTCCGCGGCAGAAAGGCGTTGGGCGTCGTCATCGCGTCGTCGCCCCTCGGCAGGATGCTGCGTTGGGCGGTCGCAACGGATGTTCGGAGCTCGGGTCATCTGCTCAGGTTCAGCATGTTTCAGCCGTGTTCTGTGGATTCTGTGGGTTTGGGTGTGTGAAGGAAGTTCACAAAAAGTAGTTGAACCAAGACTTCTGAGTATACATGGTCCTCTAAGCAGGTTTATTTTCTCTTCGAGCATGAGAATTTGTCAAGAGATTATGAAAAATACCTCCAGGCTTGCGCGTGAGCAACGATGGTGGACAGCTTCAGGGAACTGCCACAGATTCATGTGGTTCACTCATCTCATGAGTAGATACCCTAGAAGAATGCTCCAGTAGCCCAAATCAAGAAAGGCCATGTAAAGCCAGTGCTGTTCCCTGGAGTGGCATATTCCAAACTGAAATTGTATCAACCCCGGAATCCAATCTACTAAAGCTGATATGTGAGATCGAGATCTGAGCTATGACGACCTGGAGAAACCAGGCACATGGGGGCACACACACACACTCTCTCTCTCTCTCTCTCTTTCTCTCCTTCCTCTCTCGAACAAGCTCCTAATGGAGTAGAATATCTCCGTATTTGTGAGGAAAATCGCCTTCCAAGTGACAACTTTCCACTTCTATGCTTGTTGCATGAGGGGTGCCGCTGACGGGTCTTTCAACCACCGATTCCCGCTGACGGGCGCGTGGCAGCACGCACGCTATTTGTTGCGCGCAAACGACGGATCGCGCACTTCGGGCCAGTGACAAAGATTGGCTCGATCCCCGCGAGCACTCGCTGACCCCCTCGCGAGTGCTTCCGGGCGGAGGCCGCGGCTTCCGCGGCCACGATGGACTGAGTTCGATCCGGCTCCGATATCCTAAGGTGTGCCAGGGGTGGGTGTGAGGGGCCTATCCGATGTCATTCCATGCATGCTTGGGCCTTCCATGGCAGGGGTCGGACCCGACACCTTCGCAGGGGTCGGGACCCGAACCAAACCCTATAGTATTTGAATGTATTTGAGGGTCCGGATTCTTAGGGATATATTAAAGAAAGGCTCGGTGGTACTGTCGGTGGTATAACTATTCCATACATGGACGGTCTGGGAAGGGTACTCGACGGATCCGGCGTCGATCTTCGTGATGTCTAGCAGTTTCCAACATGGTCAGATCTGTTGCGCTTTGGAAGCAAACGGATTTGGACCACCCAAGGGCGGACAAACAAAGGGCCAAGCAACGGCGTAATGTCGACAACGGGCCAAGCAGCTGGTGATTGCTTAAGACGACCATTTGTAAGACCAACCCCATCCAAAGACAATGGACCTGGGCACAGTTCAGAATGCAATAATGCACACTGAAAGTCTTGCATGCAGTACAGTTCTGCACAGTTGCAATGTAGTAACACCCACCCAACCAGGTTTAGGATCCGCCACCAACATCAACCAACCACTATCTGGAGGGAACCCAGAGAGAACCCAGAAACACACCAATACCCGTCTTCAACACATCAATCGATCCGCGCCCCCCCTTCGGTCGCATGTCGACCGTTCCACACCGATCCTTCGATTGCAACTGCGGCAGCGCATGCTCCAAGACCACGAAGGAGCGCCGCAAGGCCGCCTCGGTGGCCTTGAGCACCACCTGCGTCCGCTGCGTCAAGGCGGACGTTCTTTTTGGGGGACTCATGGAGGCTCCCCCCCCTTCGGATTCGAGTTCATGCAGGTTATAGAAGAAGGATCTTGCATTTGATCTTCCCCATGTCTCATTATATTATGACCTCATGTTCCTCAAGCAACTGACGTGAGCTGTTTGCTCCCCCTTGCCCCCACGTCTCCCCCACGCTCTCCCGCGCCGGTGCAGTGCACCCCACGGGGGACACCGCGTGCGCGGCCAGGCCACGGTCTCCAGTTGTGCAAAGGCGGCACGTGCGGTCTCGCCGTCATCGCGGTGGAACGGCCCCGCGTCGTGCGGCACCTTCGCCTCGGAGGCGGACGGCTGGGCGGACGTAAAGGAGGTCGTTTCTAGCAACGCGGTGGCTGCGGGAGGAAGGCCAAAAGCTATGGTCCCAAGTACTAAGCAAAGTGGCAAAGTGGGGAGTCCTTTCTAGTTCCAAGAGGGGGCGGCCAAAGCATGTCTGGGAATGGTGTCTTAAAGTTGACTGGGACATGTCTGCTTGAAAGTGAGTATGGTGCATGGAATCCAAGAAGGATCTGCTGACTTGAGCAGCACAGGCATGTATGGAAATAGTTACAGTACAATATGATATATCATGATGGTAACATATGGTAACTATTCCGGAAATGGCTGGTCTCGGAATGATCGCCATCCGTTCTCCCCCAGAGGGAGGAGGGCTCCGTCTCGGCTTTGGACGACTCTTCGACCTTCCCCTTTGCAGGATTCAGGTTCAGACCCTGAGCAAGCGGACTGTTGAGGAGATGTGAACCCTTCAATTCAAGTACTGTAGACATGGCAGTCCAACGCCCCAAATTTCCGTGAGGACTACATATGTTCATAGCTCAAAACGCGCAAACACGGGTCTTGGTGAACAATATGTACAGCCCACGTCTGATTCCTTGTAATTGGACAGTGGGAAACAGCCAACTAAGCAAGTAAACACATGTAACACCGCGACTTGTGATAGTGTGGTTTGGATGGTTTTATGCCAAATAATGGTGAACAATGATGATGAGCAGGGGCTGGCATGGAAAACACTTGATTCGTTATATATATATATATGTATATCAATGATCAAACTTCATTTCTCTTGACTGGATGTGACAAGCCTTAGCCACAAAAATAGCAGCACCACCGGGTGTCAGCTGCCTACATGTCCTAACTCTGCCAAAATGCCCAATGATATGTTACGGAAGTTACATACTGCAAGCCATCGCATGCAAATAATTTGTCAGTCTTAGTGGCAGGGATTCTGTATTCAATTTGCTCTTCTCTTCCCTTCGTCTCACCAGCTGGAGTTGCAACTTGGGAACTTGCTCAACTTGATATTAACTCCTTTCTCAACTTGAGCAATCAACCTCCTACTGTCAGTGTACCGTCTAGAAAGGATCAATTGTACGCCACTCTTGGCCACTCTCAGCTTTTCATGCCCCGGCTTATGGCCCAAAAGGACCATAGATATCGCGAAGTAGTGTGACCATAACACATCCAAGGTCGTCCAAGAACATGTTGCATGCTTGGACTCTCCCCAGGAAACAACAAAAACAACACACAAATACCAGCCCCTTCCGTTCGGGGTCACCTGGCTGGAAGCCCCCACACAAAAATCATCAAATTGTAGATCTCCAAATAAGACACCAAGCACAGGAAGGTCCAGGTCCAAATACACCCAAGACCAGGAGCTTTCCTCCTCCCCTTCTTCCCTTCCCCCTGTCACCCTCGTCACCTCTCTCAAGTAAAAAAAATCGCCCAAAGGACCTCTCTGAGTGGTTCCAGGAGTGTCGCCACTTTTCGGCTCGCGTGAGGCTGCTCCGGGCTCGGCCCCTCGTGGCTCACAGGTGTCCCCACAGTCGACCCGGCGACCACGTCGCCGCCCGTGGAGGCCTGGTTCGACGTGTGGCGAGTGGCGATGAGGAAGGAAGGGATCTCACCGTGTGGGATGGGTTTCTCACGTGTCTCAAAGCTCCATTGGTCCGGTCAAACACATCCACTGCATCAAGGTTTGCCCTATTTTCAGGGGCTGGCGCCCACCAGCGGGCCAGCAGGCCCACCATCAGAGGTTGTGCATTGTTGTTGTTGTTGTTGTGGTTGTTGCATGTTGTTGCCGTGGTCGTTGGTGTTGCTGTTGCAGTTGCAGTTGTTGTTGTTGGCCCGATTTTGGGGGGCATTACTGATAGCGACCCCTCAGCCCATCCCCACCTGGGCCGTGGCCTCCTCGAACTTGTCCCACGCCGTCACTTGGCGCCGGAAGAAGTCGGGCGACTGCGAGTTGCTGGCGCCGAACTGAGCGTCGTTGATCAGCAGGCCATTGTCCCGAAGGACCTGCTCGAAGCAAAGGTTCGAGTGTTCCTCAGCGTTGGCGTCGGGTGGCGCAGGCGTCGGGCGTGGCGGGTAGGTCAACGGTTCAGAAAGCCGGTCGACAGAGAGAGACGACGACGCATAAAACATCATAAAGCCACGTCGCTTAGAGCAACAAAAAATAAAACTCAACTAAGAACACGTCGTTTTGTGTGCTCAAATTTGTGTGCTCTAGTACTGTATTTCTCGTTGTGAGAACAACATGTGGTTTACACATGTGTTTAAAAAACACATGTAAAACCAGTAAACCCTTACATCGACTCGATCCGCGAGTCGACCGATCCGTCGACTCGTCGAAACACCGAGCGAGTGGTCGAGACAGCTGCGCGAGTGGTCTCGGCAGTGATAGACCGTTTTAGAGTACTAAAGAGAGCCCCAAACACATAGAAAAACCCATTTCCCCACTCACTAAACGATATATATTCTACAGTATAGGACACCGTTTCGAATGATCTATTTGGGGATCTTCAGTGATGCTCACATGATGTTTCGCCTCACGTGGATCACCCTCAGTGATTTTCAGTGTCCCCGCCAGTCAGCCAGATGAATGATCCACTATGAAAACCCTTTTTCCCTTCATGCAAGGTTCAATCTGTGCAGCCAGGATATCGAACTGCTCCTGTACAATGTCATACAAGTCCTCCTGCATCTGCAAAGACCTGGCGCTTAGCCCGGGGCGGCGTAACGCCCGGCAGGAAGCAACCGGCTCGAGTCCGACGAGTCCGACCAAACAGGTTGTTTTCCACAGGTTGTGACACAGGTCAGGTATAGACCTACCAGGAAATCCCAAAACACGTGGGTTTTATCAGGTTTTATCTGAACCAGTTCTCTGAAAAAAAGAGTCCAAATCGACAAATCAACAAATACCGGCAAATGATGCCAAATGTGAGTTGCACAGATTGTCACCTAGGAAGCCAGCAGCCGTGATATTAACATGTGTTTTTTTTTCCGCATTGTGATGGAATTGACAGATTCGATGGATTATTTATTTTGAGTTAAATCTGCAATGTCTTTTCTGCTTGCACAGACATACGGGTGTCAAAAGCGTTGTAACTATATATCTATGTTTGTCCATCGTATGGTCAGACCGACGTGTCGAAGACGGCCGCTTGGATGTCCAAGCTGGTCCGACGAGGTCGACGAGTTCATGGCCCAGCTCGGCTGGTCATGGACATCGGCACCATTCGCAGGTGACTTTCATGCATGGTGTCGGTAGGTGATCCTCTCCGCCCACCCTGTGACAGATTTGGTTGGATGCTCATATAGAATCCCTATCATCTTCTTGAGGGGGGTCCTCCAGAAAATGTAAGCAGTTACAATTATTGTGGCTGTAAAGCACCTCCAAACTATAAGCAAACATTTAGTCGAACAAGATCATTTAAACATAAGCGAAATCTTACGTTTCCAAGGACCCCCAAAAAAAACGCTAGGGTGTGTTGGTAAATGTAACTTACATGTTCTAAAAAATGTAAGCTACATCTTTACATCTTTAGGAAAACGCTCTTCAGGTTTCATCTATCTCTCTCCCCCTAGTTCTCTACGTTCTCTGGAGTTCCTCTCTGGGATTCCTGGCATGTGATGGCATATGTAATTTTTTCCTGAGGAATCACCGAAGGCTGACAGAAAAACCAAAGGGGGGTCAACTTACAGTTTAGGGTCCTCCATATAACTTACATTTTTTCGACTCCCCACCCCCTACATGTCCTAGAGGACCCGCTCATTTGCAATTCCGCCGCAGGGGTAGGGATCGAAGCAGTTTTCACAAGCCCTACGCGACCGAAACGCGACCGCCACATCCAGCCACTTCGACCAGTTCCACTGTTCCAACCTGAAGGCTCCAACAGTGGCTTAAACATCTTATGCTAGCTGCTAGGATTGAACGGTCTTTCAACTCACCAGCCCCACTCCCAGCAGCTAAACATCGCAGTTCTCAGCTTCCTGCACAACAATACCACAGGACTACCACAGGGCAAGCCTTCCCCCCACTCCCCATCTGGCTGGTCTCCGTGAAACCTCCGGTCCTTTGGGCTGGCCGCTGACCACCCGTCCGAGCCGGTCTGGTCTCCGACGCAACCGGCACCTGAGCATGTTGTACTTCACGAAGCGGGGAGCCGTCTTCGAGTCGCGCACCCAGCGCGACAACGCCGCGATGAACTCCGCGCTCTGGATCTCGCCCTCGCCGGTGCCGTCGATCATGTCGAAGAGCTGACGCAGGTCGGACCTCAGAAACCGTAGCCAGCTGGAGTGAACGGGGGAAGTCCTCATGACCAGAAGGGAAAGAAGGAAAAACCCGTGCTTTTTACGTGCAAAGGAGCCCACATTCCACTCCGGATCCATGCAATTTATATAAATTTATGATAGTTGTGTATCATTTGGGCCGCGATTTGGAGCCTTTGAATTTTACCATTTCCAATTCCCCATTTAACTCGATCTCCTACAGTTTGATGGGCTCATGGGCTTGCATGAACTGAAGGTGCAAGGATTTCTTCCTCACCTGGACGGGGAAGATTGCGAGGCGCTTGAAGGCATGAAGCCTTCGCGTTCGTGATTTCCCTGGGCGTCCAGTTATTTCGATAGCATGCTGATGAACAAATGCAGTCATGTGTCCAGCCCGCACGGCATCGAGCGGCTCTTTTTAAACCAACGGGTCCTCAAAGTTACACTATAGTCACTGTTGTCCACTGATTTCCACAGCCACAGCAAGGGAGGAAACACAAGTTCCAATGATGTTGCGTCCTCAAAAACTAAATTAAACATAAGTACACTATATTATTACAATATCCTACAATATACCACTGAGAAAACATAACTTCTTGGGTGGCTGACCCAAGGAAAAGAAGTCCGTGATCACTTTGACCACAGGGTTTTGGCAACCCAGCCAGTGGCTCCAAACCCTAGAGCCTTTGACTTCAAACCAAAACATAGTGGATTGGGTTGCCCACATCTGGCTTGGCGAACCCTTTTCGCCCGAGATGGCCTATCATTTTGGGTGTCCAAATGTTCAAAAATGTTCACATGTAATACATACCAGGACCATCCAGGACCCTAATGGGGTGGTGAATGGACGCCTCTTAACCTCTCAGGGGTGTCCTGAATAAACACACCTTGCGGGGGTCCTGGTACTGCTTCAGTCTTGGTTGGACATATTTGGAGCACTGACCAGGTGCAGTTGGTGGCTGACCAGGTGGCCTCCTGTCACCTTTCTCGGATGGTTTGTTCTCTCCACAGTCGGCACAGGCACTCATCGATGTCCATTACCCGCAGTCGACTCTGGAATTCGGGGTCTTTCCTTAGCGAGCGAATCCGAAACGGGGCCCGACAGTGGTACGACGCATGACGCAAAGGGGTGTCGACAAAAATCACTGAAAGTCAGGAGTAGAGCGTTTCCCCCCTCACCCATCTCTGTTTATGAACAGCATGTGATACTCACTGAAATCGCAGGAACAAGCTACCCTGAGCAAAAACAAACTGTCAAAAAAACAAACGGTGATTGGCTCATGTTGACCTTTGCGAGTGTAACACGTGGCACTATCTCGTCGTCATGGTGTGTGTTGAATGCACCATATGATTCCTCCCCTCCGAAGAGAACAAAACAAACAAAGGTTCTAACGTCTCCGGCAACTTGACTCCCAAACACTCCCAGCAACCAAAACACAACATGACCAAGAGAGGTTGAGAGACCAGAACTAGGACCCTGTAGTGGTACATGTGGGATGGGCGGGATGGGCTGTTCAACCTCTCTTGGGAATTCCACCTTCAACCTCTTATTCCTTCACCAAGCGGAGTCTCCGTGCACCTTCCACCAGCTCCTCGAAGTTCAACATGCCACTGCCATCAGCGTCAATCCCTGGTCTGTGCAGTCCGGTCTCTGGATTGAAGGGGGGTGGTTTGGCCCTGGCTATTGACGGGTGTTTGCAGTTTTTTTACATATCACTATACTCTCACGTTGAGATGAACCGATTCTATATAGTGGTCCTCTTCTTGATATTGCTACTGCTCAGCGTCCACCCTGCCAGTAGATCTCACTTCTACATCTGTTAGTCACATGGGTCACGTGAACTCAAAGCGCTGCATAAACCATTGAGATGCCCTGAAAGGATTTGATTTAGCCTACAGCCATCTACTCGAACACGATCAAATCCATGCAAATCGAAGCGAACGAACTCGGAGTTCTGGCTGCTTTTGGTCGGTCGCACTTGGGTCGACTTGCAGGATGGAACTGTTTGAACCCCCAAAAAAACATGGACCGTTAGTGAAAAAAGATCTATGGAGATGCAGAATCATCCTAGTAGGGGGTTGTTTGGTGAATCAACCGTGAAAATTCGAGTTACATCAAACTGGAACAACATATTAACTGGAACAAAATATGTGAATCAGATCAAACAATGCACGTTCAACCGGGATCTTCCATGCCCCAACTACCTAACATGTTAATACATGTTATTCCTTTCACCTTTTCAGTAAACGGTTCAATAATTGCGGCCGTGGGTCGATCAAACATCCTCTGCAGGACTTTCTGGTCATTGGCGAGGTCCACCTGAGCGACGGCGGATCCCTCCAACAATTCTCGCTGGAGAGAGGAAAAAACCTTCGGAATCTTCGGGAGCGTTCTTTAATGAAATGGGATCTCCCACGGTTATAAAACACCATTGTGGGAACATGCTGTGTTGATATAAGAAAACTGCACCGTCACCTATTGCAGGCCAATAAGCTCGAAACATATCATCCAGCCAATGCACGCGTTCGGTTGCAGCAAACCCACAATATATTGCAGGGCTAAGCCGTTTGATGGCTCATATTCAAAATTTCAGTTGGGGATATATTTCCAGCTGGAGAAAACCCAATCAACTGCCAAACGTCTCAACATGTACCACTTCATACCACTTCCATGGCTCGCGGCGTTTCAACAGGAGAACCTCCGCACCTCAAGGTCCTCGGCAAGGTTGAGCACGTCCCGCTGGCGGGCCTCCGCAAAGGTGTCGACCACAACCTTAGTTAGGAGTTCAGATGCTGCATAACACGTGCACACAGCCGCGAGCCGCCCAAAAAGGCGTGGGGCGTCTCGCGCTCACCCCGCTCTCCACCCAATAGTAGCGCCCACTGCGATCTAGAGCTTGCTGTTGGGGTCTTGTGCCTTTTTAGTTACTGTCACGCATGAAGACTCACGATGGAGGGGTTTATGGATGGTTCGTGAGTCGTGGGCGGGCCCCTTCTTGGATCCCGAAAGACTGACCCTGCCTTCCACAAATATATATATATATGAATATATATATAGATAACCTACGACCTCATAACGACCGATTAATTCAAAAAAAAAGATAGCAGGATGAGAATTAATCCCTGGCGCAAAAGGGGCCTCCTGACACATTTTACACATCCAAGCCTTTCAATCATCATCATCACTTATAGTGAAAGGCTTGGGACACCATACTAAAGAACATTATTATCTAGAACATACTATACAATTTCTTTGGGTTAGATAACTTTGGGAACTTTAGTTAGTATTGGTTCATTCTGATAATTGCTCCAAGGGACAAAAGGAAACCAACATCATGTTCATTCACTTTATTGTTTTCACCTTTTAGCATATCAAACGAAAGGTAGATAAATGCAATGACACATCATGTGTTGTTTTGAGTTCTTCATGTCTTTTGCTTCGTACACGAACAAACACCAAACACCACATCCAATCCATTCGCCCTGACCGGTTTGTGGAACCCGAACGTGTTCCGACGACCGGCTTTCCCGGCGTTCCCGGCGTTGGAGACACGTGGTGATTGGCACGGCCCAAAGAGTGCACTCTTCGAGTTGCTTTCCAATGAATCGCTGGATGTAGTGCAAACATGCGCACTTCATGAGTATCCCTACCCCAAGTGAAGGGGGGATTTTGGAACATTAGAAGTTACATTTAGGAAGGTAACGGTAACAGGGTAGGAAAATGTAACGTAGCTTACATTTTTGCCCAAAGTGGTGGCTGCAGCATTTTGCATTTTTGCAGCGGCGACTGCTGAGGCCAGTAATATTCATCTGCTGCAGACTACCCTGAGGTGGTGGTTCCCAAAGAGATGGTTTATGAGCAAGGATGCAGTCATATCATATCGTCATCATATGGCAAGACTACCATGGATTTCACAAAGAAAATGCAAAACATTGAATGTTGAACCAGAAGTTACCTGTGGGGGTGGTAGTAGTATGGAGGTCGTCGGGGTGCCACCGTCACATCCACTGCCACTCACTCCATGTGACGCTCCGATGATCCTGATGATCCAGCTTCGGTGCTCAGCTGCCGCAGAGTTGCCGCCCGCCAGTCCCAACACATGGAACTCGCCCGTCCGCTCCCGCTCCCGCTCCCGTGTCAGCTCTCGCCGGTCCCACGTCACGTGCGTGTCAGCCGAAAATCCCTAGCCCACCGCATCCGGTATCGAAGCCAAGAGGCTGCCACGATGAGATTCAGAACTCCAAAAACCAACGTCAACAAGCTGCCCATGAAGATGATCGCCGTCCTGAGACATGAGACTGCCGCGCTGAACGATGCAGAAAACCGCACCCCAAACAGACTGGGGGCCAGACCCTAACCCAAACACTCCATGTATGGAATATATGCCTACATTGACCCCCAAAACCACCCCAATGTAGGCATATAAATGGAGTGTCTGGGTAAGGGGGTGACTGCTTGCTTTGAACGAGCAGGGGCTGAGTCACTCATGTTCCACATGGAACGTGAGTCACTCACTCACGTCCGATCCTGAGAAACAGCAGCTTGCCGAAATAGCACGCTCAAAGCATCAGCGGTGTCCACACCGTTGGGACCACAACATGTGACTCTTCGAGAAATCCCATACTGCAGCGGCATGCAGACCTCAACGAACACACGAACAGGCGGGTTTTTCGGATAAAACAACATCCATGTTTCCAGGCCTAACCATGCCTAGCCTCCCCAATTCATGCACCACCATTAACCAATCTCCATCTTTTTCAACCAAACATTTGATAACCAAAAAATACCAAAAATCCAAACCAAACCAATCCATATGTCGACCACTTTGGTGAAACCGACCGTCCCCCGGGGTAGCAGTGATGTCATTGGTACCATTGACTTGATTGCTGCATCTGAGTATCCCCTCTATGCATCAACCGATCCTATAGACATTCCACATGCCTTTTCTGAAGCTGCGACTGGACCCTCCTGGCACCTGCATCAAAGAGTGTCCGTCCTCACTTTCTCAGAAGGAAATTATTTGGATATATATTTAGATCCATAGAAAATATCCTCCCTCCAACAAACATGAAGTGGAACATGGATTCAGAATCATACTGAAATAATCATATTATAAAGGCAGCATACATGTTGGAATTTACCTGGACATAGGATAGCCGGATAGCCCATGTATGCCCATGTATGCTCCATCTCCAGGCCCCTCAGCTGGGGCCTCTTCACTCACCGAGTCTCCCGGGATATTCATCGATCACGGGGACGGCAATTTGGCCCCAACTGTCGCCGGCAATCACCTCAGGGACTGAAGAGTCGACGCTCCCGCTGACCCCTTTCGTCCGGTCCTGCGGACCCTTCTATCCGCTGCGGACCGTGTTTCGGAAGACTGTTCGACTGGGCCCCAAGGGGTGCCCTGTCTGGAAGCCTAGGATGGTAGTGTGGGGTAGTCCAGCCAGGACACCCCGACAGGAGGGTGGTATAGGTAGCCTCTTCGGCCATGTTGGGTCCGCCACGGTGGACGTCTCAAGGCGAACATGATCTCCAAAGTGTGGGGATGGATCCTATTGAGATCTATGGAATTTTCTGCTGTTCAAAGGATGATGTGTTTCAAAAATGTGGGTTTTATGCGCATGTCAAGCTCTAAACAAACTCCATTCATGGTACCGGTGTTTGATTCTGCCACCGGTGGGTTGTGAGGGTGCGGGTGTCTTGGGAAGTGCAGCTGTTGGTCCAGGGGGCGTGGAGCTTGAATCATACGGAGTCAAAGACCCGTTGAAGCCTCTTGGGGATCGTCATGCGAACAGTCTGCCCGAAGGAAGCAGGGGAGACAATCAAAAACACAACTAAACCTCATGTAGAGTTAATTCATGTGAGATTGAATCATTGAAGTTGAAAATCAGTGCGACCATGTTGGAGTGGGATGCATTAATAATGATAATGACTGAGCTTGAAAAGCTGCAAGGCTACTAGTCTTCGATATGATGAGTGCTCCACTTGAAAAAGGCCAGCAACAGGGGCCGCTGTGCTCATTCCAGGGCCTAAACATGCACAGGCTCCAGCCCCTGCAGCTCTAAATGACTTAGTCAAGCTTCGCTCCTACCCAAACTCGAAAGGAGTCAAAAGACAAGAGACTATGACCGGTCATGGTGGGCGTCTATGCCCGGTCATCGACCGGTACCCCAAACTTCGCTTGGAGATCGAGTTTTCGGTCACCCCGAATCATGAGGCGCGTGTAGACATGGACATGTGTAGACTCTTGATTGATGAACCCACCCCAATTGGATTGAGAAACACCTCTGATGAAGATGATTATTTATCAAGAGTCGACATTGAAGTGCTTAGGACCAAGAATTCGGATCGGCCGATCGGAGAACTGGGCCAAAAGGCCGTCTTGAAGAGCAGCACATTGGCGTGCATGACAGATCTCGTGGCTTTGTGGCAGTCAGAGCAATCACTAAAGGCGTTTTCTTCAAAGTGAAGCTCCTGAATGAGTGGGTGGATAAACTCAACCTCGGCACGGAGATGTGGTCCAGCAGCCAAAGAAACGAGTTCGGCAGGCTTTCCCATCACCCAAACTGAACTGTGCCAGCGTGCGAAAAGGAACTTCTTCAGAACTACTACGCTACCTGTGGGTTGCTTTGCCCTCCTCTCAAACCCGGGACCAGCGATCTCGTCGCTTCATGTCGCTTGGGTCTTTCAAGTTCCAAGCGAAAGTCATCTTCAGCGTTACAACTCCAAAAAGCAACGGTGCCCAAAAGCGTTGCCAAAAGCGCTCCGAAAAGCCATGAGCATCGCCCAAACGGTCATGATCACGAAGCAAAAAATGAAGGACCATATAAGGGCCTTGCGCGGTGGACGCGGCCCCCACGAAGTGGTTTTCTGAGGGCTTCTAGCTGCTAGCATGTCGCCGAAGGGGGAGCATAGACCATCACTTGAAGGGGGAGCTCTCTTCGCTGGCATATGATCAAAACACGTATCATTAGCAACATGTCTTGTAACCATCTCTCAGCAAGTGCTCCTTGTGCTCCTCCTGGAGTGAAAGCACATACGCTCTTCCGTTTGCTTGACGCTCTTCCGTCATGACGATCGAGAACTCGCACGTCTGGCGACCCCTTGCTGATGCAGCCAGTCACATGGTGCCACAAAAAACATCAAAGACATTTTGAAAAAAATATTTCAGAATAATTCCTTGGCATTCCTTGCAACATCAATCTCACTCCTCTTGACTCATGGTTTGGGGGGATCAGCCCTTTTTACGGCCCATCCCCCATCTGTTCACCCATCAAAACCGCTTAACCCTCTCCGTTCCCCGCGAGGTCTCCGCCTTCAAACACGTGGTCATCATACTCACGAGCTTGGAGAGCTCCCGCAGCGCCCGCGTCCGCTGTAGGACGCGGGTGATGCGAAAGATGCGCACCAAGCGCAGCACGCGGATGATGGAGATCCTCAGCGGAGCTTCGTGAGCTTCGCGGCGGTCCTGCTTGTGTTTGATGAGCTAGGTTCTCGCGGAGGTCTCGCGGAGGTCTCGTGTTGGATGGGTGCAAGACTTTCCGGGTAAAGAAGTGAAACCACCGGGCGAACATACAGATGGAGTACCGAGGTCAGGCGGACGAGGTTGAGAACCATCGCACACCAACAGTAGATTCAAAGCTCCGAATCGGAAAAGTAACGCACGTCGCGCACGTGGTCTTCCAACCTCCTCCTGATTGCCCCTCCCCGGTCCACGACATGCAAGCCGCACCGTTGCTGCAACGGCGAAACGCTCAAATCACTCCATCGCCAGGGATCATGGAGTTGTCGGTGGCCTAAATCACTTCCATAACCTTCTCGATCGCACCACAACCTGCTTGTCATGTCATGTTTTCTGTTTAAATTATGTTTAAATGGATAGAAGATCAAGAAGAGGGACCAATTCTGGAATGTAGTCTTCATATTGGTACGGTGTGGACAAAGGAGACGTTGGACATCGTTGAGACATCTGGAGAGATGACTGATGACTGTAATATACTGTAATTATCCAGTCATGTTGAGTAAATAGATGCTGAGATGGATAGTTACCAGGAGTCTGTTGAGATGGATAGTTACCTGCTTGGAGATCTTTTTCGATGCCGATGCCTGACCATTCTCGAACCAGAGCGGGGACACCGTCTCGTGATCGACTGGGAAGCCGATCCTTCGAGGCCCTCCGGGGGAGTCCACGAAGGATGGATGTTCCATCCAACATCCTGAAGGCAAGGATAGATGTTCCATCCAACAATCATGTTCTTATGAGCAAACATGGGTGATATGTTCTGATATGTCTTTATCTTTGACTTCTGGAAGCGGAACCTTCCTCCGGTCCTGTTTGAAGAAAGGCTGTCTTCCCACTTCCGCTGTGGGTGAAAACAGGAGACCTTGGTTGACCTACAGGTCAACCTACCAGCGTTTGGAGCTACAGGTGTTGACCCCATTTAAGTGAGTCAGTATGCACTTATGCACCTGTCCTGCAGGTGACTTGCCAGCTTTGTTGTGCCGGGCCACCGATGATCAAGAGGTCCAACCAGGTTGCCACTTCCCTCAACATCTTGCAGCCGCGCAAGATCAAGACCACCTCACCACGCTGCTTCCGTTGGACCGGACCCTATTTGGGCGATCATGAAATGCACGACTGCAGGAACAACTAAAGAAACCAGAAACGTGACTTCCACAACAGCAACATACAGCAACCTCTCCACAACAGCAACCAAGCTGTTCATGGCCAATTCAAGCTATCCAGTCTCTCCCGAAATCCATCCGATCCCTGAACCGATCGGAACATCCACGGGAAGAAAGGAATCTGCACTTACAGTATAGGTCCTATAGTTCCTCCTTCCTGCCAAAGCCACGACAAATTCCACGGTGTACAAGCCCAAGGCCGTATTCGATAACACCTCTACCGCTAAGGGCACATCCTCCACTGCGGCTCGGGCGTCCTGAGGCATGTCGAAAAAAAGGCCTTCAGTGGCAACAAGGCACATTGACATGGACAACACAGGACTCCATTTCGTGGTCCCAGGTTGGACAAGCGGACGTCTATCACCAAACACTTTGGGTGGACAAATTTCAAGGCTCTTCTTCATGTGGATGTGGGGTTCCCATGATGTCCAATATTCACGGTTGCTTCAGAATGATGGGACTTCAACTTTTCATTGGACTCCAGGAAGAGGTGGCCGGCGGGTGATGACATCCCGCTTGGACCATCTTGGACCTGTGTGAGACATGTGATGAAGTTGGCAACTCGAGCCTTGGCTGCGACTTCCTACTCTGACTAGTTCAGATTGGAGAAGAACCAAGGACCAAATTCCAACCAAGAGATGAACAACCCTAAGGTCGCCCATCCATAATATGTACCACTATAGGGTCCTATAGAGTCTCTCAACCCCTCTTGGAAGGTTAACTAACCCTTTGATATGCCCTGATACAATTATGCACTAAGTCGAGTTGATGTCTTGGCCTAGGCTAACAGCACTGCCAAATACTATCAGCAGCGTCACCTTCCACAAAGCTGTGTGAGCTGCCGCAACTTGCGCTCGAATCGTCGGCACGATGACGCATGAATCGTCGGGGCACGATGTCCATGCAGGTGCAAATGGAGTCCACGATGACCACCAGCACCATGAAGTTGGAGAAGCGGGCACCTGACCACGGGAGGTGAGATCGTCTCCCGCGGCGACCCGGACCAGGGAAGCCAAATATGAATGGTTCAACATGCCTGAACCTACTACAGGGAGGCCTACTCTAAGCGACCCGGCCTGGAAGAGCATATATATATATAATTATATAAATAGTCATATATCTATCTAGCCTATATGTATCTGCCTGTCTACCTAGGTTATTTCCCATAGATGAATCAAGTATATAACATCAATCTGGACACCAAAAGCCCATAGATCATGAAATAGCATGCAACAAAGCCGAAGCCCCTTAAATCATGATGCTTGAAGAGGAATCCAGCCAAGAAAGAACCATCAGCAATCCCCAAACTAATTACAAGATAAGTTGCTAAAACTATTTAAAAATTACCAAAGGGGGACTTCGATTTGTTGCCAACCCGATGACCAAGGAGATCAATCCAACTCAATCCAACACCACTGGATTGGCCACAAAGTCAGATCCAAGAGACACTTCGCCAACCGCCGGGCCAGTGCTGTTGGGTCATAACTGCTCCTCCTCGGCCACCCGTGCCGTGCGCATGCGCTTGGTGCGGTGCCGATGATCAACTCTGCGATCACTGATAGACCCCTCAACGACTGGGATTCGGAAGCGAACACCAGCTGGGATCCTTCGATCCCGACGTCCGGGAGAGGTAACAGCCCGGACGTTCGCCCCCGATGTACCACTACAAGGTCCTACAGTAGATGGACAAATTAATCAAACCCTAAACCACCATGGTCCATCACCACCCCCGCACCCCCGATTTCAATGTTGTCTCAGTAAAAAGATGTTTTGTTGTCAGGGGTTTGATTTGATTCGTCCACTCAAGCCAACCTCCTTCACCAACAGGCCAGCATTGAACTATGGGGGGTAAGGGGGTGAATTCTGCAAGGGTTTGAATAATTCGTCCACCTACGGTACTGGGTTTTGACGTGCTGGGAGAAACAAATGACACGTTCGTGTCATTTGTTTCCCCCAACACGTCTAAACCCAGTACTGTCTCAATTGTTTGGTTTTGTACACATCCCCATGCCAGAAATATTGGCTTAACATATCGCCTTCACCTTGTTCTCAAACATCATTGCCCATTGCATCTACTGCTTGCTGTTGAAGAGTGTGTGTCTCCTTGGTACGGTACACTTGTGTCTTTTGCGTCTGTGCCTGTGTCTTTGCACACGCTGTCAAGGTACACTAACACTTGACGTATGAAGGTCCAATCTTCTCTTCCACCCAACTTCCAAAACACAGGTTAGGAACTGGGTTAGGAACTGGGAAAGGAATTGGTAAGGAACTGGTAAGGAACTGGCACAGGGAGTTAGGAACTGGAAAAACACAGTGATTTGGACGCCAAAGGAGTTAGGAACTGGAAAACACAGTGATTTGGACGCCAGCAGTTAGGAACTGGAAAAACACAGTGATTTGGATGCCAACGGAGTTAGGAACTGGAAAAACACAGTGATTTGGACGCCAACAGTTAGGAACTGGAAAAACACAGTGATTTGGACGAACAGAGTTAGGAACTGGAAAAACACAGTGATTTGGACGCCAACAGAGTTAGGAACTGGAAAAACACAGTGATTTGGACGCCAACGGAGTTAGGAACTGGAAAAACACAGTGATTTGGATGCCGGAGTTAAGAACTGGACAAGCACAGCGATTTGGGCGCCACATTGTCACGACCTGGAAAGCGCAATGATTTGGGTGGAAGAGAAGATTGGACCTTCATACGTCAAGTGTTAGTGTACCTTGACAGCGTGTGCAAAGACACAGGCACAGACGCAAAAGACACAAGTGTACCGTACCAAGGAGACACACACTCTTCAACAGCAAGCAGCAGATGCAATGGGCAATGATGCTTGAGAACAAGGTGAGGGCGATATGTTAAACCAATATTTCTGGCATGGGGATGTGTACAAAGCCAAACAGTTGAGACAGTAGATGGACAAATTAATCAAACCCTAAACCACCATGGTCTATCACCACCCCCGCACCCCCGAGTTCAATGTTGTCTCAGTAAAAAGATGTTTTGTTGTCAGGGGTTTGATTTGATTCGTCCACTCAAGCCAACCTCCTTCACCAACAGGCCAAACATTGAACTATGGGGGGTAAGGGGGTGAATTCTGCAAGGGTTTGAATAATTCGTCCACCTACGGTAGTTCTGGTCTCTCAACCTCTCTGGGATCGTGTCAAACGTGTCAAAGGTGTCAAAGCCGTCCAACACGATTCGTCCGCGTCGGTACCAAGGATCGGCTGGCTCAGTGTATCTCTGTTGGTCGCTTTGATGAAGTTGGCGCCGATGCCACCTGCGAAGTCTGGTGCAGTCAGTCCAGGATGGTCATGTGAGTAGCTACGTCATGGTGAAGACATCATGGTTTAGTACATATATATATATATATACATATCCCAAACACTCCATGGGACTGCCATATATGCCTACACTGGGGTGGTTTGAGGGGTCAATGTAGGCATACATGGCAGCCCTATGGAGTGTCTGGGTATGTTTGCATATGTTTGCCCGTGCGGAGTCCACGTCCGTCGATTACTTCTCTAATCTCTGGACCCGTTCCCGACAAAAACGGAATCTGCGTCCGTCTTTTACGCAAAAGAATCCAAAAGAACACACACACAGGGACACGCACACTTTTTGGACAACTCAATGGTCCAGCGCCTGCGTTTGGTCCAGAAAATCGAGCTCGTTCTCTTGGACAACGAGTTAAACCCACGAACTGACAGCGAGTTCTTTGAGCGCGTGCACGTTAAACAACATGTCAACCCCACCCCAGTGGGAGCCAAGGGAGTCTAACCTCCTTCTGAGGATATGGTTGGAGCCCTAGGGAATGCATCGGCACCCTCACAAAAGATCGTCACCTGCCACTTTTTGGTCTCCATGTCAGTCACCCTTTCGGAAACCTTGTTCGAGTTGGGTGCTGGTGTTGGTGCTATGTTTCAACTTTCTGACTTTCACGTCTTGCACACCGCAACAACTGCAAGCCCGGCCTTTGGTCTTGGTGGCGCTGCCCTTTTGCTCCAGCCGGTCCAGCGAGGAGCGCATCGAAAAGGTCGGCGAGCCTGGGGACGATGGGTCACCGCCTGGACCGACCGACGTGCGGTGGGTCAGCAGGGCCTGAACGTCAGCACTGACTTTGGAGACTGAATGGTTTTAGAAGACGGTTTCAGCCACCTCGTCTGCACCTCAACCCGGAGATCTCAAAACCCAAGAACGGACCAACGGTCGTCTTAGGTGCGATCTGCTGTCCGTCGTCTTCCACTTCAAGGATCTCAAGCTGGAGGTGACAGGTCGTGTGCGGCTCCGGGCGACCAATGGAGCTACACTCCCAAAAACTCACTTGGACCCCTGAAAATCACTCTTCCAGGTTACCATTGGACAATGGTCGATGTTAGTGTTTGGGAGTGCTTAATAGTGACGATGCACTTATATAAACCCTAACTATATATATTGCTCCAACCATATTTTCAGGTGGTTGGACCCCCCCCCCTGCACACCCACCCCAACCACCGAACCCAAGGATGTGGACCAGGAGCAACGCCAGTTCACAGCTGCAAAGCGGTGCAAGTCGTTGCTTTCTTACCGTATAGGTTGGGTCTATCCGAGTCTACCTAGGCCCAGTGGATGATGGTTCAGTTCCAGACCTTGTTCAAAAATAGTACTCATTGTTTACTGACTGTTACAGGTAATAGGACAGACCCTACCTGGATGTACATACCCTCTGAGATCCTCTGAGAAGGTGATTGGTGTCTCCACTGTTGTGTACGTGCCAGGGTTGGGTCCTGTCATACCTGAGAAGGTACTATATATCCCCAGGCTTCCCTTCGACCATGTTGACCTGGTTGCGTAGTGTAAATCCTTAGTAAAACAGCTGGTGATTCGGGAGTCAGACCATTAAAACAATGGTTGTTGGAAGCCTAGGGTATATATATATATATATAATATATATATGTATCTAATGGCACACTCTCCAACAGGTGTTTCCTGGTGACAACAAGGTGCCCAGAAACCACCTGTTAGTGTCCCAAAACAGCCTGTTGGAGGGTCCTGGTGTTACAGCGTGCCGATGTCGTGGGGATGTCCTGGCTCCGGGTTCCACGAACTGATCGTGCCCTTGGCGTGACGCCGGACGTTCGGCGAGCAAAGCTTCAAATCCTGGATGGGGCCGATAAACGATGGAAGACCACCTGGATGACCACCTGGGTTCCAATTGGATAAACACAACTGGGTTCCAATTGGTTGTGTAAAGGATGTCAATTGCACCCAATTAGCATGTTGAAAAGAACATGGAAGAACCATTGGTGCCTGATTGGTTTCCAAAACAGCCATTAGTGTCATATGGAATTAATATATGATCAGTGTCATACGTGATGAGACCCCGATCATATGGATGACCACAGCACACATACGGTATGTGATGAACCACACGTCATACCACTTCTGTTCCGCTGGGTGCACTCCCTAGAGGTCCATGCATCCTGTCCTGAAAATGCCCGAAGAGTTGCTTGTTCTATCTGTTCTTTGTCCTGCGTGTCTTGGGGAAAAAAAACGCACATGCACAAAACAAGCCCCTCAATAATGTACAGCAGTAAGACCCCCCACTGCCCCCACTGTCTGCGCTCTACGGCTATATGATCTAGGTTTCTTCTTGAACGGCTCCTTTTGGTCGCCCATGCGTCCAAACGCCCCTGATTCCAATCTGCTTCCAACGCCGACACCGCGAAGAGCGCGATCAGTTCGGCCCGGCCACCCAAACCCAAGCGCGGGCTCCCCATGCCGCTACTGTTGCCAGTGGTCAACTTCACCATGCGCTCTGACGTCCAGGTGCCCTTCCTCGAGGCCATCCTGGTGGGTTTCTTGAAGGAGGAGGCGGTGGTGGTGGTTGTGTAAGAAGCACGTGCATTTCTACAGCAACAGCTGGAAAGGGGGTTCTGTGCTTCTTCAGTCAAGTTTCGGGAGTTGTGCCGACAAGGTCTGAATGTCCAAATGAGGGAAACAGTTGATTTTCCAAATAGAAATGCAACTGCTGACATGAAGGCCGCTGGTACCTATCTCAAAGCCTCCACCCAGAATTACAAACTTCTGTTGGAACAAAAAGACTGGGGACCTCTGCTTAAAAGACAATATCATATTGAACCCATAAGGCCTTTTGAGGATTTATATAGAGGTGTATAGAAATGAACAGATCCCGGGCATCGGCAGCTTGCTTTTCAGGACTAGTTCGACCAGAAATGGGGGCACCACTGGTTCAAGGCAACCATGACTGACATCAAACAGCTCTCACCTCACCAGGTTCTCACAAGAGGTGCAGAGCAAATGCCACTCCACATCCCAAAACAAGACAAAAACCGCTCTCCCAGCCGCTTCGTTCATTCCACCCCCGTTCATCCTCCCCGGATGTATACATCTTCTTACCCCCGTCCTCTTGGGATCCATCGAGTCATCCAAGGACATGGGCAAATCCCGGGAATCGGCCCCCGATTCCCCGCCGCTCCAGCCGCGCAGCGCCGCCGGCCGCGCCCGCGCAGACGCGGACGGCGCGGACGGCGCGGAGGCGTCGGAGGAAGCGTCGGGTGGCTCGGCCGTCTCGCCGCACTCCATGGGGTCGTCGAAGGCGCACGGGCGGAGCCGGGGAAGAAGGCCCCTGGTGGGGCCAAGCTGAAGAGCCAGCTCAGGCCGAAGGTGAGGCACAAACATGAGAGACTGATCCACGGAGGGTGGACCGGAAGGAGGAAAGCTGTGGGTGCCAAATGGTGCAACCATGATTTTTCCACCAAAAAGGACCGGAAGCAGCTACCAACAGAGGTTGAAGAACCATCCAAAAGGCTATGGTGATGGGTCCTGTTTACGGTCACTTCACCTCTCTTGGCTTGCCGCCGATCAATTGGTCCGACAGCGTCTGACATGGCCCCACCTCGCCGGTGGGACGTCCAGTCGCACGGACCGGGAGGAGCAAGGCCTTCTCCCCGTAGCGGGAGGAGCGCATCGCTGCCAAGGCGTGTTCGAAGGAACCACGCCATGCTGTAAGTCATGCTTTTCTTCGAGATTGAGATCGGATTGGCCAACTTTATTCAGCTGGCGCGATCGCCTACAGCAGCCAAAGCCGCTATAATGATCCATGTGAATCTTAATATTCCATCTTTAGAGGTCATGCATGTCCCTGTCCCTGTGGGGTTTCAATCGCCAAGTGCCATTTGAGATGGTGTCTAAAATGCAGAACAAATAATGGTTGTGGGACGATCGTAGCGACTTGCTCCACGTCGCCCACACCTTGTGCCGTTCCTTGATACCTTTTTCTTCTCACCTGTCTCACCTTTCATGTGTACCCAAACTCAACCACCTTAAACATCATATAGCGGTCTCCAAATAGATAGCACAACTTCCAATACCTGAATGGGGTGTTACTGTTACTTTGCTGTCTACTTGCGGGTCTATACATCCAACTCTGAAAGCTCCTGAAATCGTCCATGATGCCGAAGTAGAAACACGACCCCGACGTCGCGACCGGTGTTTTGTGTTCTGCCGACATCTGCCGACCCATGGAAAACGAACACACCAAGAAACGAACGTGATGAACGTGAACGTGAACACCCTAAATTAATTGATCACAAGATCTATCACAAGTGTTCACTGCCTTTGGCTGATGTTGAAAACTTCCACACCACTTAACGGATCAAAAGTCTCGTGTGGTACACCCCAGCCCGTGCCCCACGTCGCATCTCCTTCAGCAGACTCAACTGTTCCTTCTTCATCTTGGAGCTCAAGACCTCCCCATCGGCCTGCCGAAGCCGAAGGATCCACGGGGCGAACGGGTCGAGCCGTTGGGACGGCGCTCCGAGGGTCGACGCGGGAGCCGACACCTCTGAGACTGACCGGACCTACCTTGGTCGCTCATCGTGGGTCACGCAGGGACCAGTCACGGTCACCAGGGGGTGTCGAAACTAGGTGCCCCTGTCACATTCGCTCACTGGATGGGTCCCCTTAATCCACCCAGTTCAGAGGAGTTTGCTCATGGTGATTCTGTCTCTTCATCTCCCTTCATCACCGACAGTCAGGTGATTCTTCTTCTCCTTCTTCTTCTTTATAGTCGCGTCCCACCGAAGCGTTCTCCACCGAACTCTCCGCCTTCGCGAGGGACCCACACACCGCGAAGCCCAAGAGGCTGGACAGGCGCTGGACGGGCTTGGTGGCGGCCAAGGTGAGCAAAGGTAGAGCCTCCCAGACCATCGTGGTGGATGCCAGGTACCTGGACCCTCCAAAGTACCTTAGAAAATGGGACATGACCCCATAAAACAGGTACTTGTACCCATTTTCCGAGGTACTCCAAATAGATGCAAATGCCACAAATGCCATGGTCTCCCATTCAAATCCAGGTGGCCCATGCCAAATGGGCCAGGACGGTTTTTAGTTGTTTTTAGTATGTCGCGAGTGAGAGTGTATTGCAGTACAACAGCGGGACCTTCCAATGAGACCCTGGAAGAGGCAAAACAAACGACAAAACTGCATGAAAACCTCTAGAGTTTGGGAGTTTGGGTCTTTCCCTTTTCAAATGCACACCTGTACACACCCTCATTTTCGAGCAGGCCAGCATTTTGCCGGCCAGATCTTTCATCCTGGTCTTCTACCCATGCCTGGATTCCAACCAACAAAAACCAACTCGTTCAGCCTCGTGAGAAAAGAGCCTCTATAGGCAGGGACACCTCCCCAAACTAGGGAACTTCACAAAGACATTGTGGAGGAGAATCGCAGTTTCCAGCAACTGGAACCATCTCTTCTATGTTCCAACCGCTTCTACGGCTTCTCTCTTCCAATGCCTATGCCTATGCTCTCCTTTGGCGCGTCGAAATCCCGAGATCCCGGAGGGGCCGGTCGAGACCGGCCCCCGCAAGCTGCGCCTTGTCCACGAAGCTGCCGGCCCAAGCGCAGGAGGTGCCTCGTCGCGAGCGAAGGTCCAGTCGAGCGACACCGAAAGGAAGGACTCGATTGGTCCCGCTGCTGGGATGCCAGGGGGGTCGAATACCACCGAAGTTGAGGAGATGGGCCAGAAGCCCTAGGGTGTGAAAGTAGAACAGAACGTGGACAAAGCGTCCAACACCACTGATCAGGCCGGCAGCCACTTCATCCGATGCTGAATCTCAAATTGATTTTAAAACAATGAACCTGGAACCTGGGAAACAATATTCGAAAACCACGGGCGGCCGCAAGGAACATCAAGGAACACTCTTTTTCTCCCCGACCCTACCCTGCGAGTTGATCTTTAAGGATTTCTGACACACTGCATTTCGTATACAACCCAAGACCCTGCCCTACAGTGCTCGTCTCCTTGCTTTGGGACGATGGATCTTTCTCCCAATACTCCGAATCTGCGCTCCTTCCTGGTTAGCAGCTCCAGAAACTCTCTCTTTCCAGGTAGTTGATATTCTGTTTCCGTGAAGCCCACACCCCACCCACCTCACCCACCTCACCCACCTCACCCACCTCACCCACCCCGCCTTCGCGCGCTTCCGCCAGCTGCGCCAGCACTGCCAGCGCCGCCAGGCGCGCGCGGTCCGGGGCCTTTTTGTCCGAGAGCGGCTTCAGCAGTTCAGCCACCACCTCTGGGGACTGGTCGGAGAGCGGGTAGAAGGAGCTAGACTTCCGAACCGGTGAAGAGGTATAGGAGTCCGAAGCCCAGACTTCCGGGGTGAATCCAAGTGGCAGCAACGGCCGAAACGTCGCGTTTGAAGGGTGTTGGCATGTGTTTGGCCCTTTCAGTGCAGTTCAGGCAAGCAAATGGGCATATTATACATGCTTATATATGCTTAATATTTTAATGTATATTGGCCTTCTGGCGCACAAGAAATCAAATCACCAAGACCCGACGTGGAGTGTTTGGATTTTTTGGGGGGCCACCGAGACCCCCAAGGCCCCACGTGCTGCAAGTGTAACAAACATTACATATATAGACCCCCAAGTGGATAGAAAATTTACTCCGGGGATCTCCGGGGAAATTTACCATAGAGCACGGGTCTGAAAGTTGGTGCTCATTAACATGGCACACCTGCAACGGTGACCTCCTGGTGACATGGGAAAGCACCGGTTTAGACTATGTGGTTTTTGGAGGTTAACATAGAACACTCTCAAGCAAGCATGGCTAGTTTCTGCAGCGGAACCGCAAATGCTACAGGCGCACACACTAACATAGACCACCCGAGGTGGCTCGAAACAAGCTTTCGATTGTTCCACGTTAGACTCAACAGCGTCCAACCTTGCCCAGATTTCCCTGGTTTGTTTCCACAGCTTTTCAATACTAACATAGCTCCAAATCTTAAGGACGCGCACTAGCCAAAAGCAGCCACACTAACACGGCACAAGGAATTTTGTTTTTTGTTTTCTTGAGATGTTAGATTTCACCGGTGTAGACCCCCAAATGAACAGAACCCAAGTCTAAGCAAATCCCACTGCAAATCCCCACTAAAAAGGTGTTGGACTTGTGCCACGGTCTATTTATTGGTGACAACTATGAACTTCGACAAGTTCGTGGATGATTGTTTGAAGTGATTTCTTGAGTAGAACCACCAATCATCTTTGAGTATATCAGTAATATCGAGTAAATCATAGTAATTTGCTTTGAGGTAGAACCTGTTGCTTGTTTGATCGTCCGAACCCTTGGAACCCTTGGACCCAGGTTGACCTCTCAGGTAGTCTATTCTATTAAATTTCTATGGGAAAAACCCAGGGTTCCCTGATGCCATGACGGACAGCCACACGTCCTCCACATCAACTCCTCGCGGACTGCGCTGTCCGTGGGTCCCCTAAGGGCGAACCCTGCGAGACGCGCCTGATCCTGCAGGTTGCTCGGCAAGCGCAGGGCCAGGGCCCCTAGGGCACGGTAGCCCAAGTAACGCGTCCTCGGAAAAAGGTGATGAGAAGGGCTTCCAGGCCGGAACCAAACGCTATCCTGACTCCACTGGCTCCCATGCTTTCAACCGGTGTAGATTTAGGAGGATTAGAGGATACAAAGGGCTTTGCCAACCTTTGCGGGCCAAAAGTGGATCAAGAGTTGGCACGTGCATGTCGTGGGTGAAGAGTTCTCTACATGTCTAGATGCGCACACCATTGGAGCCCGCACACCATTCGGGTCACTGGCTTCTAATAGGTCTCTCCAATTGGTTGGTGTAAACTATCTACCCTAAGAATTCGGGCTCCTTCACCAACACATAGGGTTTGGGAACCGGGTCCAGACCCCTGCTATCGCTTCAGTGGTGAAGGTCCGGACCCCTGCGATTCGGAGAGCCCCCTTGGGGGTTCCACCAAGTCACCATCCTGTAGAACCCAATATCTCCAGGTGCCGAATTTGTATCACAGGTACGCCAAACTAGTCAGCTCAGCACTACTGCTTCGAAAGAATTGATCAACTGAAGCCGTCAAAAAATACCCCCAGGTCACACCTCGTTCTTGGCAAAAGGACATCTGTTGCAATCTTTTGCCTATATCCTTCTTTCGCCTGGTGAAGAAGCCGCCACCCCTCCCTCGCGTTGTCTTCTCTCTTCATCTGAAGATCTCTTCATTGGCATCTTCAGCAGCGACTTTGGCCAGGGGCCCCTTTGGATCCTGGGCGCCGAAGGCGAATCGATCGGGCCTTTGGACCCGTTTTCGGCCCGCGTTCCGCGCGGAACGCGTGAGGTGTCACATGCGAGACGCTGCAAGGGATCCTGGAGACGTCGACGTTTACTGAGACCATCTAAGACCTGACACCAGTGGACCAGTCTTCAGAGGGCTGTGAAATTGACATGGCGACACGCTGGCATCCACCCAGCGACCACCAGCTTTCCGGCATCCTCGGATAGGTGGCTAGCCAACCTCGGCGGACTGCTGTCTGCTGCTGTCGGCTGTTGCTACATGTTACTACCTATACCTGCTTACATCTAGCGCGCTGCTCTCATGCAGTCCTGGACGGGCAGGGTCATCATCCAGCGCCACCGGTGCTATCATTCATAACTCAAGCAAACACCAAGGCAAACCTTGTGGTCTTTGACTTACACCTGAACATGACCGCTTATTAGGTGCTCTTTTTTACGCCAAAAAGATAATTGCTGCACTCAAAAAGAGCATCTTAAAGATAGTCAAACATAATCGGTTATCCACAACCACACACACACCAAACCTGCCTGAGGCGCCCAAAACACAAGTGCACCGGGTGCCGAACTCCCTGAACCCAACTCCCCGAACCGACCGCTCCGCCGTGCCGCTCCGCTAAGGCCTGTAAGGCTGCCTCGCCGCTGACTCGCACGCGCTGACGCGCGCTTTCACGCGACGCGTCGGGTCCCGGTGATGCATCATGTCGCGTCCGTCTTCCCCCATTGGTTGATGGAACCAGCGGGGCATGGATGGTAAGGATCATTCAATGAAGCACCATGTATGGACAACACGTGATAGAAGCACCACATATGTCTGAATCATTCTGAATCTGATTGGTCCAACCCATGGCGGCAACTCTTCAAGTCGCTAGTGAGGCTCTTCACCGTTCTGAAGCCGCTCCCCCCAAACCACGATTTCAATTCTGAAGTACGTAGAATTCCAAACGGTTCAGACCTGTTGTGAACAAAAGGTCTAAGAACATGTCCAAACACAAGGCACACCTTCTGAGCTTCAACATGGAGACCAAACTGCTCTTCAGGATGTTAGGCACCCCCAAACCCGAATGTTTACTTCTCCAAACATATATGGATTTCCAGGCTGTTGACTCCCAACCAGCGCCGTGCCTGCTTCTCATCCACCTTGCCAGCCTTTTTGACCAGCTCCGCCCAGGACTGCCAGGAGGGACGATACAGTGGCCATTCACTTCACACACACCTCTGGGCATTTAAATGATTTGCCTTTGCCTTTTAATGGTGGCTTCAGAGTAGATGAGTAGATGGCACCCCAAGATGATATGTTCAAGTCCATATACGCCAACTTTTGGAGATTGTGCCATCTAATTACTCTCCGTCAAATCCGCAGGGAAGCAGCAGCTTCAGGTTTTAGTCTATGGATGTCTATGGTTCCTTTCCATTCTTGTTCCCTAGGGCCATTGATTCAACCACTCCTCAGGGTTCCAATTAATGATGGACCACTGCTCAGGGCCCAGTCGTCTCAAATATATAATCGAATCTGCTCCTCTTAAACTCACCTGTAACTGCCTTGAAAAACATGGGTCACAACACGACGCAACCATACGCAGCCCATGGGTTACCAAATTGGCCGTTTTGGCAACATTAAGCATATATAGAACCTGAGCACTAACTATCCTACTTCCTTTTCAGGTTCTAAGAATGTGCCCAAAGGCCCTTAAAGGGAACACCAAATAACCGAAACTACCCTCTCCTCTATATATATTTGATAGCATAGAAAATGCTGGAACATGATTCTCCAATATCAACTGGGTTCTTCTGTAGGTGCTGACCCCTTTGTCGACGAAGATCCGGTGTTCGCCTCGGCCACGGCGAGCAGCGCTTCGGCCGAGGAGTTCACGGCCACGTCTTTCACGAGTTCACGGCCCAGCCAGCGACGATCCTGGCGCGCTGCGACCGGTGATGGCCATGCCCGCTGTGGTGAAAAGCAAGCATATTATAGTGCTCCACTGCACGCCCAAGTAGAGTTAATAAATAGGTCATCCAACAAAACGAGTCAACGTTAGAACCGGGTATAACTTACTCTAGCGGGGTGGCCTTTAAGGTGATCTACTTTTAGACCTATATTGACTCCATAAAGTGGGATCATGGGCACATGATACAACACTTCATCGTGAAACTGCGCTGCGACCTGCGGCCATCACTGCACCCATCCGCTTGACCTCGGGACCTCGGGACCTCGGCCCGCCTTGTCCTTGAGCCGTTCAGGTGCCGTCTCCAGTAGCTCCTTCGCATGGTTGGAGAGGTCCAGGCGAAGGCTGCCGACCTGCCGTCTGTAACCACGAACCAAATTGGCCGGATCGATTCCGGTGGGTCTTGGGGTGATGTACTTCTGATGGTCTCAGTGTACTTCGAACTTCTCCATGTGTGGAGAGTCTGGAACTTGGACACGCTTGGACCGAAGGATCTGCAGTTATCCCCGGCACATCGCCCCCTCGCGCACCATCGATGGAAAAGAGACGGCGCTGGGAGCTGGCTGTCGCTTCCTCAAGCGGCGCTGGCGTTGGTCGTCGGTGACGGCAAATCTGTCTTTGGACTGGCATATTTACATACATTGGGGTGGTTTCAGGGGTCAATGTATATATGGCAGTCCGATGGGTCGTGGTGTCCAAAAGATCTCCCTTTTCCACCGAGTGGTGGGACAAGACTCGGGAGATCTGGGGGCAAACACGGACACTTCTGAAGTGGACATGCGTTGATTGATGCGTTGGGCATCGGACGAGTTCGGACTCTGAGTCGTGTGCATTTTGATAGGGAGATAGTTTAAACCACGATGGGTTTGGGGTTTGTCCCTTCTTCCAAGAGGGGTCGGAATGTCTGGGAGGCTCTCGGTCTTGAGCTACGCACTCATGGTCCGATGTTCTACGACCTGGTGAACCCAGGACCCACCCACCGGCGGTTTGCATCAATTTCACTGACATGGACCTGGAAAACACACACTTTAGGGTGCCAAGCTTTCTTGATCTTTCTTGCATCATGTTCATACCACAGTTCATGCAGTTGATTGCACTGCTTGCTGCTCAACCTAGGCCATGGGCACGACATCCGAGCGTCATCATCCGCAGCGCCAAGGGCAGCAGCTGCTGCGCCAACTCTTCGCTGCTACTGGCGGCCGCCACGGGCGACCACGCGTGGAGCGTGAAGTCTGTGAGGACCTTCTTCGCCTCTAAGACCTGCGCCGGGGTCGATGGCGCCGGCGTCGCTCAAAACGAGCAGTAGCCGCGTTTCTCGGTCGAAACGTCGGGAAGAATGGACAAGGCTCTTTGTGATTGGTTAGGAGTACCCAAACGCCGAACATCGCCAAACGCCAAACATGGGATTGGAATATGGAATCATGGCATTCCGGTGGTTCGCCGGGTCGGGGGGGGTCCATGTGGTGGGGAAGCATGTCTTCCAGTCTCATGGAACGTCTGGGAGTCTGGCTGACATGCTTTGTGAAAAAACGCATGCCTGCTGTGCGAACGCAGCGCATATCAGATCGAAGGATGTGGCGAACGCCAGCGAGTTCGCCGCAGTACACGTATACGGACGAAACCGAGGACCACGACGACCAAGAATGAGGCGAACGCAAAGCGGTTCAACTTGAGTCTCTGGAGTTTGAAGATGTGGAGCCGCACCAGAAATCAAAAGACCTTCCCTACAGGTCAGTTGGACCTCATTTTACTGGAGTTGGCCATGCAAAGGCACTACCTAAGGAGGTAGAAAACAAGGTTTTACTGGATCTTTGGACTTGTAGGGCTTCATGTTCATGCTACGTTTCTGGTGTCCACCTCCCTAACTGTCCAAGCCACATGTTTCGAGTAGAGCTCGAGCAGCGTGCTGCGCTCCACATTGGGCGTTCGCGTCAGGGCGGCCACGAGCAAGGCTGGGGGATCCTGACACGAACTGCGCTCCACTTTGATGTAACCCAACCTGAGACCATCCATGTCAATGGCCCATTGACCTTCATTGGAGTGCTTTCAGGGGTCAATGGAGGAATTGTATTCCATAGATGGATTGGTCTGGGATCAATACACAGTTATCAAACTACTTGGTACTGTCCATGCTGCCATCAGGGTCATTTCCCAAGCCACATATAGGTTGAGACTTTCTGATAGTGATTTGTGGCAAGTAGAAGTTAGCTTAAATACAAATGTGATCCGCGAAGCACACTGCACCATGTGAACATGGTGTACACAGTGTACACATTGTGCCTCTTTCTTGGATCATCAAATTAAATGTCAAACCCACCGGTATACTGCCCGGTGCCGCGCCTTATAAACAACACATAACAACACTATGATGGCTGACAGGATCTCCGTCATCTAGGAGAACTGAACAAATACTCCTGTGACTCTTGTGCGGACCCCCATCCTCCACCACTGGGAGTGCCATCCCCCACCCAAAAGTCACAAAAGAACAAACGCGACACCAACACACAACCCCCGGCTTTGTCCTCAGATTTTTTCAGAAAAGCCAAGGCCCAAGGCAATATGACCTGCTGCACTTTCCAATGTTGCAAGGGGGTCGCAAGGCGGGAGGAAGGCTGCAACGTTGTTGGTATTTGGGCAAACGAGTGTTGTGTTTCAATGTTCTTAGCTTCTGAGCGCGGAAATCACCGTCTATAGTAAGCCCGCCAGCCATTGTCACAATCGAGGGTGTCAAAATGATCATGCCTTTTGGAGCTTTCCAGCCCACTGTCAGGACTGTCGACATTGGATGGTCAAATCCCTTGGCTGCCGAGTGTTGAGAACGGATTTTCGATGCACGAGGCCTACCAAACAAAGAAAAACCACATGAGATAATTGCACATTCCCAGAACACCCATGTATGGAAGAGTTGGACCATGTTGTACCAGGTCATAATTGGGGTACATGTACCTAGAATCCATTTGACCCATGTCTTATAGGAAAAACACACCATCTTTTGGGTGGTTGGTGGTTGAAAGCAAAGGTCGCTCTAGGTATGTAACTCTTCCATGCATGGATGCTCTAATAGTTGTCCTTCCAGGAAATGAGGTCCAAAGGATCGAACCCGGCCCGGCTGAGTTCGCCACTTCGGGATCTTCAATCAGAGTCATAAACTGAATGTTGCGAAGACATCCAAACCTCGGGGTGCCTGCCATACGTGCCAGCAGTTGGCAGAAAAGGAGTGGTCCAAATCGTGCCCCTCCCAGGCACATCTGGTGGATGTTTCGAAACGTGGATGGCACGTCTAAGGTGGGGACCCCCAAGTAGCACACCGCACACGGCCTCTGGCATGGCCCCCATCACCTTCTGCAAGCTCCGCGTCGCCTGCCGGTCGCGGCGAATGGTCGCCGCAGTCTCCGGTCGGACGGACGTACATAGCACGGCCGCCGTTCGGAGCTCAGCAGGTCCACTCGGAATGGGCGATGCTAGACCGTGCTAGAATGCTAGACCGTCCTCAGCGAAGGATGAGATGTTCGAGTTCTTAAGGGGCCATCCAACTGAGTCATACTTCGTCTAAACCATCCAAGGGTGAATTTCTTCAGGGATGGTGCAGTCCTGTTTAGCTTCTGGCTGCCAGCTGCTGTCGTTTTCTCCGGAAAAAGCGGATGTTCAGGTGCTCTTCACTCAGAAAAACGTCTCCGTGACAATGTGAGTGTTGCATCGTGTTGATCATGTTGATCTCTTCACCCTGTGTTGGACAGTCCTACCCTCCCATCCACTCTTCTTCCAGTCTCTGCTGGCGAAACACCATCAGGATGTCCCACAACCGGATCCAGCCAAGAGACCGTCTAGAGTCCTTCAGAAATAGGACATGAGCTCTGAAAACATGCCTGAAGTGAAAACAAACATCGACTCCCCACAAACCCTCTCATGGCACTGCATCCAAGTGCGTCCCCCTTGCCAAGAACCGTCCTGAGTCCTGCAGCGGCATGCGGCTGTGATGAAAACATCTCTCTTGTCACACCAGCAGCACCATAAAATTGGGATCAATCTGCATTTGGTGAGACCTCCGCTCCTGTTGCGTCATTCATGTCTCCCCCAAGGCCCGTCGTCGTCTCACGGAGTCTCCGCCCGTCTCCGCGCGCCTTGAGCTGCCATCGTCCAGGCCATCGGATGCAGCGTGCCATCTCGGAGCACCAGGCGTCCAACAACGAGGTCACGACCTCACGGTAGCAGCGGGGGAAGAGAAGGTCGTGGCACGTCGAATTGGGTTTCACCTCTTCAAATGATCAAAATCAGTGGCGGAAAAATCGAAAGGTTGAAAAGACATCGAAGACCACGAGTCCCAAAGGTTAATTGCTATTTATTGCTTATAGGAAGCTTGGAGGACATTGCTGTTGGAAAACAGAAGGCCTCTCTGGAAAGTGACCATTTCCGCTTCCATGCGTGTCTTAGGTCAAGGATATGATACTGTCAAGGATCTAAATACAGTATAATATATGAATCAGTATACTGTATACAGTTCTAGCTTCCTCAAATCCGGCTTCTTGTGTCGCCAAAGAACCTCCGCCTTGAAGGCTCCCTCCTTCGAGAGGCACTTCTGTGCGTTGCTGGAGTGGAGCCACCGCAACAAGTACTGCAGCATGAGCACCTGAACTGCGTCCACGACGCGTAAAAACAAGCCGTTTCGAGGTGCAAGGAAGGAAGCCACATCAATGTCACAGTGCCGTTCCATGCACAGGAAAACGCATGGAACTGCTTCATCCTGCTTGAGTTGTTCCTTTCGTTCACATACTTGGGACCAGCTCTGAGCACCCCTGCCATGATCCGAGGCTTGAAGCATGGCTGCGTCTTTGCCTCAGTGCCACATGCTCCCGGTCCAGCCGTCGAGCAGCGTCGCTGCGAGGTCAATCCAGCCACCCCCGAGCAAGCACAGGCGTCTTCGTGGGTCAAACGCCTCCTGCAGCCTCTTTTTGTTGCCTCCAAACATGAATAGAATGGCAACATGGACGATTCGTAGCTTATACATCCTTGTGCTATTACAAAATGTTAGCATAGTCTGCATGGTTCAGGCCTAGGCCTAGGCCTCTACCTGCACCCAAATACACACCCTCCCCACGAAGCTGGCCATCTTGGCCAACTGCTCCCTCAAAAAGAAACTCCGAGGCTCATGATGTTTTCTGAGTGTCTTGCTGGTCTGGGAAGTGACAGTGAAGCCACGCAATCGGACAGTCGAATAAAGCACTTACACAGTGCATCACTATAATATAATACTATACATCATGCATGAAGGTTTGCAGGAAGCAATTTGGGAACCCCCTTCGTAGCAGTTTGGGGAGGTGTCAAGGCTGAGCCTTTACGATACCAAAGGCTCCTTGGTTCACCCGACACGGTATCTCCACGTCTTCGTTCGGCATCCAGTGGCTTCTTTCTTCATGAGCTTGAAGAAAAAGGCTTGCACGTCCGCCTGACCGCGCACCCTCTTTTGCAGGCCAGTTTCATTGACAGTCGACAGCTCCGCTTTAGACATCTTGTAACGTTGTAACATGACTGGCGGAAAACAGCCGTGGCACCCAGTTGCCACACCGAGGACCTCTTGGGCGAGCAAATTGTTCAATTGCTCTGGGATTTCCAGCGGTGGCCTTCCCACAAAAGCCCTTTGGGAGACTGGCCTTACGGCCCGAAAGGCTGTGAACGAGCTTCTAGCTCAGAAACTATTGAAACATTGGAGTGGCACATCAGTCCAGGTCCGTAACTTCTGGCCCAGTTCGGGGCTCCCACTATTAAAATACGTCCCCAGTTCGTGCCATCCACACCTGGCCCAGTCTTTTCGACCGCTCCTGGCCTTACTAGCATCATCCTCATAGGCTCGGACGGAAGAGCCTGTTCAACGCGACCGTTTGGCTCACGCGTCCCGGACCGTGGACCGTTTGGCCTGGTAACACCGAAGCTTTGGACCCTTCGGAACTGGAGGGTTTGGGACTCCTTCACCAAAGCTTCACCAAACCTGAGGGTCCGCCGTCTGAAGGAAGGGAAGGGAAGATGTTTGGACCCAGTTTCTGGTACAGAGTTGATCGCTTTTTTTCATGAGTCTCATTGGGTCTTTAAGTGGACGACTGATGACGATGCGAATGATGCGATTTGAATGTGGAGATGCAAATGGACGAAGATGCCACTCGCAACTGGAACGTCAAAGTACCATATAGGCACCGCGGCACTGCCGGGAATTGAGACCATTGAGACCGCATCAGTTTCACCTAAGTGTTTCTTTGTATGTTGTTCCCATGTGTCTTTCTGTCCCATCGCTTCGAACAAACAGGGCTAGATCGTCCATCTCCACGCAGCGAACGAAGGAGCTCTCCTGCACGGCCCAAGAGCTCCAGGCAAAGGAACTGCAAGGACCTCGGTGACCGGTGCACGGTCGAACGGCCCCGAGCGGTGCACGGTCGCATCGCCACGTTGGTCAATGGGAATTCACGAGAACTTCTTGTCTGTTGTGGTCTTTTTCGATGCGATCGTGGATCCTGTGGCACAGGGCAAGTCTTCTTTAAAGGGCCCGGGTGAAGAATCAGGTCATGTTTGCAGACTCTTACGTCAGAAACAACATGAAACAAGGACTCATAACAGTCTCCTGGTGATCTACGAGTCCTAAATCAACTTGCCCAGTGAGCCTCCGAGTCCTGGTCGCCGTCTTCTCCAAGTGACATGCACATGGGTACGCGCGGCGCGGCCATACTGGCGACGAAGGTGATCAAGGCCTTGCAAAGATCAGGAGCCAAGTCCTTCTTCCGCTCCTCCGCAACGGGCCCGTCGGCGCCGACGCCCAGGCGATGAGGACAGGCAGAAGTAGTGTGGCACTTCTTTGTTCTTGGGAGTTCAGGCATGTTTAGGCAGAGAGCGTCAAATTTGCTCCTGGAAGATGTGTGGTTTACAGCCCACATGATCTTGTACCCTTCCCCCAGATCTCCTGTGCTTTCTCCAAGAGCTCTTCCAAAGCCTCGCGGCAGCGCTTCGGCGCTGCGCTCGGCAGCTCTTGCGCCAAGGACTTGCAAAGCCTTGGCGTCATCGATCGCTGTCGGTCGGTGGTTGCAGGTGGTCGCAGGTCGGACATACATTGACCCCTAAAACCACCTCAATGTAGGTAAATATGCCAGTACCATGGAGAGACTGGGAGTGGTGGAAGAAACAGAAGCAGTGGTGTCATAACTGCCGTGTGATCGGCGATTTAGGTGGTGTCATAACTGGCGATGGGTAGGTGGGCGGGTCTGAAACATCAACGGTTGGAAAGGTTCCACTTCCACTCCACTGGCAGTTCACTCACCATCTTTTGAAGTGTTGGCCTAGGGCAGTGAAATATGAAGGGAAACCAACATCCATGTTCATGGGAACCTTGGCCTGCGGCATAACCCTGCACAAATCTGAGCATGTTTAATGCTCGGCAAGTGTGATGTGTATGTGCATATACATATAAGTCAATTTCATTGTATTCAGGTAATACAACATTGTATTCAGGTGTTAGTCCTGGGGTGTGTTGGAAACATGTTGGACATGTCAACGCACTGAAGCAGCACTGTGCCCCGTTGGCCATTTTTCTCCCATCCGAGCAGTCCATGCTTCGGTGCCAATCCTTTAGGCTATAGGCTATAGGCTTTCGAGCTTCAGCTCAAATCAGCCTGATGCAATCTCCATCAGACATCGTAAGGTCTTTCTTTAAGAAATAGAGTGGCTTTCCTGGGCTTGAGCTCAAGCTGCCATCCTATCAAAGTAAAAGAAATCTTGTCGAAACATAGTTTGGTAAGACTACAGCTAAGCTTCGAGGTGCCAACTCCTGGCTCAACTGTTCAATGTCAATAAAAATTAGTACAAAACAGCAGATCATTTGTCAGGCATTTGCCTAGAGAAGGTCCTTGCTTTCTTTCTTCAAGAATACACGCCACGCCCGGCACAATGTTTGTGAAGCCTCAATGGCCTCGGCTGGAGGAGGAGCGTCAGCATCAGGGTGATTGACATAGTTTGATAATAGGTCAACATCAACAGTTCGTGCTGAGAAACATTGGTGTTGAAGGCGCTTGCTACTGATGTATACTTCAAAGAATTGAGGTTTGCCGGCAAACTCCAGGCAAAAAAGATCTGCTGTGGCTTCGGTTTGATTGTGTAGTGCCATGCTGCCTCATCACCTAAGCCAGCAGGAATGTTTTTGCTACACCTAGTGGGCACAACAACTCAGACCTTGTCACTTTGAAATAAATGTTCATTCTTCGTACACCCCTGAGACAATCACTGTTGTCTCCCACTGCTGATGGCTTTACCAGGTCATGGCAGTTGATGGTAAAGTCAGAAACTGTTTGGGACAACTCATCGATCAGCTCACGTAGGCTACATTTTTCACCATCAATGGTTTGTTTCGAGTTTTCCTCCGGGATCTCCAACACCACTTGGTCCTCATCACTCGTCCAGGAGCAGATCATGATTCGATCCAGTTCGCCTGGCCAGGCTGAGGTGAAAAACCGGGAAATGGGAGCAACCAGGGTTGGTGGGTTGGTGACAGTGTTGGATGTGGTGCACTGACATCAGGACGACTTCTTTTTGCCGCTTCATATCGTTTGAGCTCATTGCTTCCCAAGCTCACCTAATGACCTAATGGTTAAAGACTTTGTGAACCCCTAATGAAAAGACTTTCACACTCAGACCTGCTGTATCCACAAGGGATGTTTGTCCACTGTGTTTCTTTCAGGTCATTTCTCCAAACAGACAGGTCTAGTGTCTTTGCCCCGCAAAAGTGCACCCAATGGCTGGCTATTGATGCCCTACGAAAGCAACACCGCTATGGAAGATGTGCATTCACACTCCCTGGCATTGCTTTGGGGCCACAGTCATGGAACATACTACCTGGAACAATGCATCAATCATCAATTCAAAAGGAACCTTTTCCTGGATGCCTAGCAGAACTTAAAACATGTCAGTCAGTGCCAGACAATGGGATTTAGGGTGCAGAAGATGCACTTGGTTCCGATGCCAGCTCTGGCTCTGCAGGCGCACTTGGTGCTGATGAAGATTCTTGCTGAGTGGCTGGGATCTCAGGCTCAGCGGGGTTGGAAACATAAGTCTTCAAACGCCGTCGGCTGATCTCAGACTTGGACATCAACTTGATGGTGTCAAGCCTGTCTGGGTGAATCCTCCACCTGATGTCAGGGGTTGGACATTTGGTGCAAATGGATCAAACATGAGGACACAACATCCTCATGATGCCATCATGGTTAAAAGGTCTCAGGTAGGTGTACTATGAAATGTGCCTGCGACGGGCTTCTACCATCACTTCCTTCTTGGTCCAGTCCGGGAAATCAGCAGCAAGCTGTGCTGAGCAATCACGAAGATGATCATAGTATTTCTTGCGCATCCCAACCAGTCCAGCAGCACCACCCTGCCAAGCACAAGACTTAAGGCTAAATGAAGACTGAGCTGTTTCACAATGAACCATTCCAAATCTTTCCAATATTAAGGATGTCGAAGTGACACGGACATGCCCTGCCTTCGTTTTGGGCACAGGCTGATTTTCTTCATCTTCCTCCACCTCCTCATCTTTTGTCTCTCCATCTTCCTGCTCTTCCTCCTCTTCCTTCTCCTCCTCCTCTTCCTTCTCATCTTCCTTCTCTTCGACAGCAGCCGCTTCCTTCTTATTCTTTCCATTTCCCTGACAGATGAAGATATGACACAACTGAACAGTGACAAGAACACATGACACATGATGACAATGAACACATCAACACACATTGACTCCCAGCCTTAACAGGAGCTTGTTCTTTGGGGTTTCGTGGCTTCCTTGTTTTCCTTTTAGGTTCCTCCTGTCCCAAGACCAGTGTGGTGGCATTCGAATCACTGTCACAATCCTCCTCTGCACCCTCAGCCTCGAACTCTGAGTCAAGCTTCCTGATCACAGGATCTTTCCGCTTCTGCCTTTTGGGTGGGGCCAGCTGAGATTCCTCCAGGCCCCCATCAACTTCTTCGTTCTTTGGCTCCGGCTTCTTCTTCTTCTGTTCCTTCTGAACCTTTGCAGCAGCTGTAGGCTCTACCCCGGCCTCTTCCTTACTAGGCTGTTTGGGCTTTCGACCCCTTCGCTTACTGACTCCCTTCTCCTTCTCCATGTTGGAGGTGGCTGCTTTGGCTGCATCTTTCAAACTCAAAGTTGATGATCTCTTGGCATTATCCTTTGTTTTCGACTCTGATTTGCTTTCCGAGGCAGCAGTCAGCTCCTCAGTCTCATTCTTTTTGATCCGAGCCTTCGCTGCCTCCACTGCTTTCTCTCTGGCAGCTTGTTTGTGAGTCTTCTGATCCTTCTCCTTCTTCTTCTTTGCAGCCTTCCCCTTACACTTTCTCCCTTTGCCTTTGGGCTCGTGTTCCTCTTCTTCCTTTGCATTGTCAGCCTGGTCAGATCCACTCTTTCCATTCTTTGTCAGCTTCCTCCGGCTCCTCTTCGGTTGCTCCTCCTCCTCCTCCTCTTCCTCCACTTCCTCTTCTTCGTCCTCTCCATCAGATTCCTTCTCCTTTGACTTTCCCTTGGGCGCTTTGCGCTTTGCTTGCTTGAGCTTGTCATGCAGTGCATCCTTCTGTTCTGGTGTCAGCTGAGGATTGTTGTTTGAATTGCTTTGAAGAGCGGACATCGGAAGCTTCTCTTTCGGTACCTGACATGAGATGAAAGGAGCAAGTGAGCACAATAAGTAGTGGAATTGAGACTGGACATTATCTAGAGTTTAGAGTGTGTTTAATGTGTGTGTGCGCACCTTCGAAGCTGAACTCTTCTCTTCAGAAACTGTTGCCCTTGGGGCTGAGTTTTTCAGGCCCGAGGCTGCTGAAGTAGGGGGGCTTGATGTAGCCTGTCAACAATGCACACCAGGCAAAACTGAAGTTTATAGGAAGTTGAAGGATTCAAAGTCAAGCGCAACATATGTGACTGAACAGGGAATCTAGAAAGCAGCAAGTGGCCTGGGCAGGGGGTGATGTAATCAGGGATGCATCTGCTTTCATCAGCGCATCGAAGTCCTGTCTAGCAGTGATTACTGCATTGTATAGTAAGGTCACCTGTACAGCCTGTACATTGTTTTTGCACATGTTTGATTTTAATAAAGGCACACACCAGTCCTTGTTGAAGCCGCACTCAGCAAGAAGAGATTGCAACGCCGACATGTGCGCCAGACTTTGGGTCTACTTTCACTGGCTACTGTGCACAGTGTGAACTGACAAGTGAGAGCCTAAAAGGAATAACACCCAATCATGGTCAGGGTTTTCCTAATACAATCTCTGCTCAGGTCAATCTCTTCTATATAATGGTCACAAGATTCCAGAAGTATCAGAGTCCACCAACATGTTGTGGAGAACGCATGAAAGTCACACCACCACTTAGGGCAGCCCCCTGCCTTGTGATTGTTCACGCTTCAGCTTGGAGACCTTGTCTGCATTGAGGAACTTCGATCCGCCATGGCCCAGTTGGAGATCCTGGGAGCTGATCTCGACATTTGTGTGCGCTACCTCAGTTCAGACTCACAGGATCTGACAACATGATATACAACAACAAGCTCTTTCAGACCTATTCCTGACAGAAGGAACCCTAGCTTGAATTTGCAAAACCTAGCTACAAGAAATAGCTTGAAAGACTGCCGTTCCTGTACATCATTTGTTGTCCCATCTCGACGGCTTGACGGCACTACATACAGGCTGGTGCCTGCACTCTTGCCTGCCAGTTTGGCTTCCAACACGTATGCGTCATTGAGTTCCTTCAAAGTTGTGGGTTCGACCCAGGTTGGACCTGTCTCTTCAGCTGACTCTTCGCAGGGGACCATAGCTGCGTCAGTTGGTGGTGGGCTGGGTGTCGCTGAAGTGGAATCAAACCTAGGCAACATGGTTTTGGCAAGTATTTTTTGTATATTATGTAGTGCAAGAGGAATGACATTGAATTGGCAGCCCCTGCAACATGTTGAATCAAAGAAACTTTTGGTCAAAGTCAAGCAAAAGCTGCCGCCATTCAGACCCCCAGATCACATCGCTCTCGTGCAAAGCGCGGATATTTGGTGG